TTACATATATTTATGATGAAACATTAAAAGGACCTTTGCTAATTGAGGACGAAGGCTTTTTCCAGATAAGTTTACAAAGTTATATTACAAAACTTTATTAAGTCGGGACTTAGGGCTAAGTATAACTCCAGTATGTCAAAAACGTAATGAATTTGTTGAAAGAGACTTGGAGGGTCATATTCAAGTTAGAATCTTTCAATAAGTGGCATTTGGTATTTGTCATGATTTTCATAGAGATTGACCCGGAAGCTCGTTTATGAGATGTCTCGTAACAGTTAAAAGTAAATCTCTTTATAGTTAATCGTGACTTCTTTGTCTTCGCCAGAGAAATCCTGCCTAGACTTTGTGTAATGACTAAATGCACACAACTATAATATGTACAGGAGAGACATTGACTTAGTCATACTGTTGACGTTTGTGCACATGTGTCGTGTAAAGATCTAATTTTATTGTAACTGATAGGAATGCTGAAATTTTTGTTTTGTTTTTTAATTAGGATCAAATTTGCGTATTTGTAGATGTAACAAAGTAAATTAATCATAAACCAAAATAAACACAAAAAATCACACTGTAAATTACCCAATTACAATTTTTTATTTGGTCCAAAACAAGTTGCAGTAAAATAGTCCTTAATCGTATCAAGCAAACGCTTTAAATTACCTAAAAATAAAGTTTGTAAGTATATTCTTTATTATTACGACATAGTCATATGTTTAGTTAATGTTTCCATTTAAGAAAATTGAACATCATAATGGTATCTAATTTGCTATACAATGTAGATTTTATACATATGCTTAGAATTTTTGTTGAATAAAGGTATAAAGGAAGGAATAAAAGGTATATATATGCCTTTTTAAAAAGAATGGCAGTCAAACGAATTAAAGTAATAAATGCGGTATTATATTTCATGAGATTTCTGAGTAATAATTAATCTATCATTGATATGTCTTTTATACATACTCTCACAATGGCATTGCTTAACTTAAATTTGACACATCTGAGTGAGATTAGAGAAGTCAAGTGGTCTGGGGAATAACCTACTTCCAACACTGTCTAACATAAGTACGATTCCTCACAACAAAGTCATGACACGCAAGAAAGTGAGGGTAGCTTGTGGATAAATATTAATCTACCCACCTAACTTTTTAATAACCGAATAATAAGAAAAGTTTAACAGCTTTATTAATGACAGACCATGACATAGACTTTCTAATATCGATCGATAAATGATAATTATGAAAATGTACAATACCTTGAATAATTTCTCAATACATTTAAGACATCTTTATTGTGTAGGCGTGGCAGGTTGCCCACGGGCTCTTAGCTCTACTCAACTTGACACCTTTCCTAGCACAATACTACAACTACGTAACGTCGTATTTGCACTGACATTTCATAAAGCGTACGTCTGTTCATTGGTACGACGTTGTTGTTCACACTGTCTTCTTTAAAGTGAGTGAGAGTTATTATTATTATTTTTCTCAATTTGTCATATGGAGCATGGTGTGATCTATGCAGCTCCTTACACTCTTGAAAATAAAAAAATGGTTGATGTAAAGTCGGTTTACGGACGATAGTTTAACGTGACAACGTCATAACAAAACATTGATGAAATAATTGCATACTTTTACGAATAAAACTGAATCATTATTGAATTATCACTATGTAATTAGAAAGAGATAACTTGTTATCTATCATCAATTATAAGAATCACCATAATTTTTTACAACACAACCTATTATTACTGCACTCGCCAACCAGTGCTACTTTTTTTAATAACAAAAGAATAAATACTTAAATTATACTAGTAATCTAATTTTTAAAATACAAGCATAATTAACTTTTATGACCGTAATTGTTGACCGTAAAAACCACACAACGAAACAGTTCACGTGTAGATATGTATGTGTCATTAGTATACTTTAAGAAAAAAATAATTAATCAAGTTTATAATTCCAGGAAAATATAACATTATTTCTAAGTGACATTGACAATGACAACTCACATATTTGGCTTTAATTTTTCATATGTCACGCGAAGAAGCCCGCGGTCAACGACTAGTTGTTAAATAAAGTTCGAATGATAACTAGTGCTTGGGAGTGAGTTGCATCAATTTGTATATGTCAAGAAATGTTAAATTTTTTTCCAGCAAACAAACTCCAATTATGATGCAAGCACAAAACAAAACAAAAATTTCAAAAACAACAGACGTATTTTTCTGATATTTAAATACAGTTTCTCCCTCTGCAGACTAGAATTAGGAGGAATGCTGCTGCTGTCCGAGCCCCACCATAGCTGTTTTTATACCAACTAAGACCGAATTGTTATTATTGTAATCTATCAAGATACACTTAGTTTTTAAGATATAATTTAGAATGGCAAGCGCCATGGCCGGCCGTCGCGCCACTGGTAGTGATTCCAACTCCTACAAAATCTTCCCCCTAAAACCAACTTCAAATACCTCTAAATATCTATTAAAATCCCCATCAAATTCAAAATCATCAATTCCATTCAAATAGTCATCAAAAATACATTTAAGTAGTTTTTGATATTTCAATAATAGCCACGCTTGGAGCTTTATTTCAGTTTGTCAGTTAGGTTAGTAGCTTAATATAAATTGTAGAGTCGTGCAATTTTTAAGATTTTTTAAAATAAACTACCCGATAAATACCCTCAAGACAATTTGATTTCTTCTAAATTTTAGAAGAAAAACCTCAAGTTGGGATTACTGGCCACTGGTATTTTCTCTGTACCAACGAATGAAGCTGTTTTCGATTCCTCCTAAATGTAGGGATACTATATGGTTGATGAGGACACTAAAATCTCATAGGGTGTTTATTTTGTATACTTATCAACAAAAGCAAAGCAAATTTAAATCTCATTTTAACATAAGACCAATTAAAATAATAATAATAAGCCTTTTTATTTCCTGTTTTACAATAGTTGGTAGTTGCTATATTACAGTAACCAAAAATATTGATTTTGTTAGTAGATTAGATTTGATTGAATTTAAATAAGACATTATTATTTACTATTTCTTTCATCTATAGTTTCGAGACTCTCATACCTTTTAGACATGATAGCCATTTCATTAAAGGTAGTATTCATGACACATGGTCATCTTCAAAGTCAATACATCAATGAAGGCGTCTGTCACTTCTGTCTTAGTAATCGCTGACACGCATATATATTTATGGATGGACCTTTAGGTAATTTATTTAGAAAATCTAAGTACAACCAAACTTATTAATAATTAGCATCTAATAACATTAATAAACCGCCTTCATATCTTGAACATGGAAGGTCAAGTACCTAGTTTATTGTATTCATCTTCGTCGACTTCTGTGTAAATAAATTTTGTTTAAAATGTATATATATATAACTCTAAAGTTCCTTTTACGTCAAACCTACTATGTGACCGTAATAAAATTAGTTTCAGTATAGAATATGTAAGGAAACTTCATTATATCATAAACTGACAGTAACATATCGATGTATCTCTTTTGAGCTCTATCCAGTACATATATGCTGGTATTCGGTTTGTTGTTTAAAAGTGCTTTTGTTACCGTTCCGCCACTGACCCTTGACTCCAAATCGATCACGATTTTTATGATTCAACCTTCGCATAACTGAATGATATGTGAATCACGAGAAGAGCACTCATTTATTTTACGTCAAATCATACTATATCTGTTTGAAAGATCATTCTTCGTATATGTTTAATTAGGATATTACAATGGTTGCATTATTTTACGTCAAATCATACTATATCTGTTTGAAAGATCATTCTTCGTATATGTTTAATTAGGATATTACAATGGTTGCCATTGGCAAAAAAAAGTATTTTAATTTTTGAAGTTATACTTCTTTAGGCGCGTTATGAAAAATTTATGAGAGTGAAATTTTACGATGCGCGCGCACCTGTGACACAAAATTAGGAGTGTGATTATAGCGTGCGCGAGCGAGATAGGAATAAGACAATCTACAAGACGTAAAAAGAAATAGAATATGCGTGAAGTTCGTATGCCAAGAATTTTGAATGACCATAATGACTTTTGTCATTTACCTTTTAAACAAATAAAGGAGTTTTAATTATTTTTTCAAAGAAATTTAGCAATGCTTTTTGAATTATAATCAGAAGTGATTTAAATTGAATATTTAAACCAATACTAATTAATATTTGTGAAAAAACTGTGCTGATCAACCTTCCTAAGTGCTTCAATACAATTGAGGTTAACTATCCGTATGTATTATTATTATCGAGTAATGTTTTGATTAAAAAAATGACCACATTGTTCAATCAAAACATGTAATTTTTCTGATTTAATCTAGCAAATATAAGGACAAGAGACAAAAAACAATTGATGAATCAGTGTAATTGCACTAAATTGAATACAAAAAAAGAGTTGTCATCGCTGTGAAACATCAAAAACTGGAGGTGGAACAAAGCCAAACTATTTTTAATAATGCCAAAGAAGTATAACTTCTTACGCGCGTACATAAGTACACGCACCCTTTTTTTTATATTTTATTGTATAATATACCTTTCTATAGTATGTTTGAAATCGCCAACGGCGTTCGTTCGTAATATATAATGATGCATACAAATGAGACTTGATGAATTATTGAGAATATAAATAACACATTGTCGAAGAAAATTAATGAACTTTGAATGAATGTAGATAGTATAGTACAAACATATATTATTATAATTTATTTACGTTGCGATACGTTTAATGTCATTATAAACATTATTTTAAGTAGGTATATATTTTTATACTGTTAACCCGTGTTTCGTATTTTTTTATTAAATTTCATAAGTAACTTTTGTCATACGTGATACTATTCCGTCGTTCTTTTGATATGTCCAAGATGTCCGCTATCAGCTGTTATCACTCCTCCACTAGATAATCCACCTGATAACAGATAAGTACTGATAACAGGCGCCAGTGTGAATTCAGTTGTTGGAGTTAAAACAATGTTCCTCAATACGTAACAAAATGGTAAGTTTGTTATTTATTTACTGTTAATATTTATTTAAACAGAGATTTACATTTCCCATGTTATACAGTTATCCAGAAATGTATTAAAGTTAGAAAATATTATGCAGTAGAGACAAAAGACGTTTGGAGTACATCTCCGTGTTATGTTATTCAAACAGCTTTCTCGGCGTTAGGTTTGGAATTCGCTTATAATAAATATATATAACATAGTGATTACTAGTCATAAACAAATGGTACAAGGTTGGACAGTTTTTGAAACTAAATTACTAGTCGTTCCCAGTGGAATGTAGGTTGGGTTTTAGAGCCTTAAGAACTTAAAGAAATCCTACATTTAATTCCTGGCGAAGCTTCAAATTGCCATTAGAGTATAGATAGAATTTTTTGAGCACACCATAATTTCTGCATTAAGACACAATAATTTATGAAGCCTCAAATTGGCGTAGCACTCAATTCAGCCTCTGCAATTTTAAATATTTAATTATTATGTCCTCACGCCTTTTTCCCGAATCGGTACACAGAGACCACGGATCCACGGATCACTTGCTACGGTCCTGACATACCACTCTCGCTTCATCCTCTCATCCTTCACAATGCATGCTCGTCGGTTATGGTTATAGTTACTTTTAACTAGTACTCTCCTGGATTTGGTTTAGGTGTGTACAACGAGGCCTACCCATTCAGATCTCACTGCCGTCGAGTAAGAGCTTCGGGCATCGTTAGAAATATCATGGCTACACAAAAGAAATGCAAAGCTCCATTTACTGTATTCCCAGCTATTATTATTATGTATTGATTTACACTTCCTTACCTTATACAAACGCATGCATATAAAAAAGTAGGTTACATAAGGTATAAGGCAACGGGCGCCTTATCGCTAACAAGCGATTTTTTCCAGGCAACCCTAGTATGGAACTACAAAATATTTTTTAATATTTATTGTTTTTTTAACTAATTTTAAAGAAACTCGAAAAACCATTTTTAAGAATATATGCAACAGCTTCGTTTGTATGCTAATCGCTTACTTAGTATGCTATAATCATTCGCGGAATTTTCTATCAAATAAGTGTGAAATGATGTATTACAAATTGCTTCAACAGTCTGTTATCTTTGTTTATCTTTATCCAATTCACGGGTAACATGTTATTGAAAAGGAATTAAGGTAATCGAAGATGGGCATGCGAACGTACAGACTTTTTTCCAATTTTCATAACATAAATTCTTCTTTCGATTCTCATTAGGTGAGTTTGAGCTTTTCACTTACTACATAGGGGCTTTTCAATTCCTGACTATGGATAAACAAAGTTAAAAATTTACAAGATAAATTAATTTGTTTAAGCTTTGCTTCGAACAATACCTGCGTCATATCTGTATTTATCAACACGAGCAAAACACGAATAAAAGTAATGAATGCTATCAATACGTATCTTGTAAGAAATTTATATTCCTAACAAAAGATAACGCCTGTTCTATTTCTTGAAGCAAAAATATACACATTGATTAATCGTGGGATACAAAGTAGTATCTTTGAATTATCTTTTTATGGTTTATAAGTGATCTATTGGTTGGCATATTCGACTGAGATTTTGAGGTCTTGGGTTCGTCAAGCGATTTTCTAAGAAAAAATTGTAACCCTAAATTTGGAAGTAGCGGTATTTGAACATCCTTAATCCTGCCTTGATGATGCTGAAGTCACATCGGACATCCTTCCAATCGCAGCTGGAGAGTTATGCAATGAAGAAGAACTTGAGTACTTACACTTTTGCACTAAAAGATCTCTTACTTCCCAAGTCTGTCACGGTGGCTTATCTCTATTGAGATAAGATAATTGGGTCGTCTGTATAATACGTTGTATATGGATTTTAGAGAAAATAGCTATTTCGATGTATTTTGCTACAGAAAGTTTAATAGGAGTGTACGAACTTTATTTAATTAAAAAATATCTCTTGATTTTATTAATATAACTAGTTTATATAATGACCGAAAAAGCTGCTTAATAAGTTAAAAATACTTTCAGTATTTAAATATCCGTGGTCATAAAACTATGAATCACTACATCTTTTTTGGAAGACGCATAAACATTAACGCTTAATAATTTTGTTATTCATTTCAGGACACCAATACGATAATAATCGTAAGTGTATTCGGAGGTGCGTGGATCTTTCTCCTGTTGGTGTGTATAGTACTGTGCACGCAGGTGGCCAGCCTCCGGCGCAAGATACACGATTTGAATAACACAGGACGACTGCGAGTGCAGTAAGTGTTTTTCCATATATTTCATCGTATTGTAAAGACGATAGTGCAATCATTACAAAAAATATTTGTACTTATTTTAGAAAACTTAAAATGAGTCCTGAGGGAAACCACGCGTTCAACAACCCCAGCCTTGTGCCCGATGAGGAATTATCTCGGCGGGGCTTCTCTATGTACCAGCCCTCGGAGGAGGACGTTGAGAGTGGTAGAGGTACTGAGCGGTATGATATATATATTCTTCATGCATAAGAACGATACTGAGCATAACTTTAGTGTAATAATTTGAATTTCGATGTCTAGCCAATTTCAATCATGATTTTACTCTCAATCAACCATACTTCGGTTCGGTTGGGAAAAAAGAAATCCGTTGTTTTGCGTGGACTATTTTATTATTGTTTCGAATTTTACCATTTTAATCAAATACGCACCGACAAAATTTGTTACAGAATAAAATTCTATTACTTGTTGCTATTTTAAAGGTAGCTTCATAATGCCTCTGTCAGTATTGGTCCTACTTAGCGAAATCTCTAGTAATCGATTTCACAGTCTTATTGCTGTCAGGGCCAGACTACGAGTAGTATCGCGTCAAAGTGATATTGGCATTGTCTTGATGGAACAAACACTTCTTCTGTTGGTAATGTCTGGCTTTGCTCCAAACAATCCATTGCTTGACATTGGAGATATGAATTTAGTATCTGGCTATGTGGCTGTGTTTCTTTTTCTCCAATTAATTATATCGCCTGACGTAAATAACCAATTTATACAACTATAAATATATGACATAGAACAGATAGCTAAATTATAGGCTTCTTGCTTGAGTTTGATGTAAGAATTTATATAAAAATTAATGTATTCCAGGCAGACGAGTGGGGAGTTCGTAGAGGAGCTGACTCGTAAGATTGACGACAGACAGTACAGACAGAGTCAGACTAATGGCCAGGCGCCCCCCTTCTTACTGCAGAGCATAGAAGATAACAAGAGGAAGAGCAGGCAACTGGCAAACCCGACTACAAATAATCATGGACGCCAGAGTGACACTAATCCAAACTTTATATTTTAAATTTTTTCAGTAATAAAACAATTATATTCATAGTATACCTAAAACACACCGAAAATTAAAGGTATTGCCAAGGATTCAAACATTGAGGACGCAAATTATGTTTATTTTCGCGACAATATTACAACAAACTGATAAAAAATATCTAATACTTTGATACTGAGCGTATTGGTCATGGCTCTTCCTAAAGTTTATCAAAACCACTTGCTAACTGTGAGTAAAAATGCAGTAGTTTTCGTTTCTTTTCAAATATTCGAAAAGGAATTTGAAAATTTATTTTAATAATTAATCTATAAATAAAATTAAGTAAGATAAAATGAGTTTTATTTCACACGATCATCAGTGTTAAACTTAACATTACAATAATAATTTAACAAACATAACAATCTTAAATAGTTAATTATAAATATTGCACAAGTGGGCAGTCTCAAAGCTAATTATGCCAATTCATTCTCATTGTATTATTAATAATACTTAACATATGTAACTGGCAGACCTATTATAATAAAATCGAATGTAACATAATTCAAATATTTCCAATTATGCAATTCTATAACGCTTGATTTTGCGGATGTAAGGTCGTGTACCGGATCTGTAGGAAGTGGAAAGTCTTTTCCTGCACCTACCCGAACGGCATCTTGGACGTAAATTGTTATTCTTCAAGAACCTGACTTTGCTCTTCATTGGCTTTGCCTTTGCAGCGTATCGAGGGAATTCCTCCTCATCTTTAGGCTCATATCTTGGATACTTCTCGATACTATCATTGAAATCTGATTCAGCCTTACGTCCCTTATTAGATTCGTGAGCATCGAGGATATCTTGAATGCTTCTGTATGCTTCTTCTTCTTCGGTTTTCGCTGTATAGGGCTTAAAATCACTTTCGGTTTCCGATAGATCGGCTTTGTATTTTTGGAAATCTTCAAGGTGTCTGAGGTAACTGTACATTTCTGGGTCACTTGAATGGCTAATTGGTTTGAAGTTTGATAATCCTACAAAATTCAACGGTTTCGTCTTCTTTGTTTTTTCACTTTTAAGGTTCTTGCTGAATAGCTGAGCGTAACGGTCTCCAAACGTAAAAGGGTGAAATTGCTCTTCAGAACCTAAATCTTCATTGTCAAGGGGGGAGGCAAAGCGTTCCTTCTTTTTTGATTCTTGTGCTTTAATTTTTTTATTTAAATCAAAATCAAAAGTTATAGTTGGTGGTAAAGTTGATCCGTAAAGCTGTTTATCGGACGTCTTTCCATATATTTGGTCTAGCACTTTAATGTCATCCATCCAAAACTGGGCAAGACCTGAAAATTTGATAAAAAAGTAAGTAATTACGACAAAATAATATTTTTAAATTATATTTAAGTCATTTGTGTTGAGTGTAAGAGTATTGTGTTATATCAATAACGTCTGTGGTCAAATTTATGCAATAACTCTCTAAACTTGTTACTGAGAAAGTGCACAGTTTGATTCTTCTCACAACACTTTCGAATCTATCTCGATACTGTATCGGTATTTTTAGATTCAATCATAATTAATATTTTTTTTTCAAGATTAAAGTATTTAAAAGATTATTACCAGAAGGCTTAGTAACTCCACCGCCGTGCACCGCAGACACCGCTAACATAATCGACAACGCACACAGCGCATCCATTTTTTACTGAAATTATTAATATTTATTAATATTATTCTGTTTATTATATAAATAGTTACAGGAGTAAGGAAGTTGTGGTTAAGTGGTTTTGCTGTTTAGTTTTTGTTATTCATTTGAAATGTTAACGAAAGCAAAAGAAAGTTATCGCGTTTATTGAAGCAATAAATTTATTGTATTATAAAATAAGCGAGTCTTTATGGGAAAGTTGTAATACAAAGAATACCGCTAATTGCACCAAGTAATATCTCTTATTAAAAAAAATCATTGACCAAATTCAATTGTTTATTGACAAAAACTTGTGAAAAATCGAATAAATTGATTGAATTTCAAATCCCCATAACAAAACTTAAAATCTTATTGAACACTTATTTTTGCATCAGCATATCTAATCTCAACTATAAAAAAATATTCCTTTATTTATAAAACTTTAACTGTGGTTATTTATTTACAAAAAAAATATCTCCAAAGTACCCAAGTAAAAAAAACAATTTTAGTATATTTAATTATATCCAATGGAAAAGTATGGTTTTTTCCGTTGATTCATTTTTTAAGAACAATTGTAAGAGCACTATAAAAACATAGAGCATAACTCGGAAACAAACAGAAATGCATCATACAGCCGACTGGAGTATAAAGCTTTTAATCACACCACAATTCATCTGTAAACTGACTGTCTGACAAAAAAATAATTTTTATTGAATAATTTCCACAAAACAGTTGCTTAAAAGCAAACAGCCCTGTATTGGCAGAAGAATCTACTTGTATTTCCTTTCACGATGGCCAATGAATATGTATTATACAGTATGTATATATACAGTCTATGTCCAATTATAATTCTAACACGATCTTTATTTATTATAACAAAACAAAAAAATATAAAGAACAAAATACAATGCCGCATCTGTTCTAAAATAACGTTTACTAAACATGAATGTGGCCAACTTCTCAATTTTTTATTTTCACACAAATTAAAAATAAATTATTATTTACAAAGAGTTATTAATATACTATTGTAATGAAACGTAAGGGGAATGCATATAAGGAAAAAGAATACATGCATTTTGGTTGGTTTCAAATCCACTATATTCGTACGATAGTACTATTTATCCATCCAACGAACAAAAGTTCTACTCCACTCAGTCCAGGATTCTCTGTTTGATCCGCTAATCCTTTAACAGAAGCTGTAAATGGCAACTGATCGATTGTTATTTCTCTCTTAAACTATTTTATTTTACATAAACGAATATAAAATCTTTTAATTATAGTTTGCGGACATTGATGTTATGTCTATAAACTTATATAATTAAAGATATATATTGTTATAATGATATACTTTGTGATACGTCATAAAAACTTTGTAGATAACATCAAGCATAATAATATTTTGATGCACTGACTAACCAGATAAAAGTGGAATTACCAAATGATTAGGAAAGCAGAAGATTAATTATATTTGGCCCTAAAGATAACAATTATTTAAATGTCACGTTGTTAATAAGTGATAATTGAATTATTTGGCTCCACCTGATTTGTATCGGATGCTTTTAGTTTGTAATTTAACGAGATAATATTATATTAATTAAGTTATAAAAAAATGTTCTTTATTGTTATTCTATATGAGATTTAATCATCTCTTAATTCATATATTATTTTTTGAATTATGCTTAAGAAGCTAGTTACGAAAGCTGGCATCAGGAAATAGACCATATATTGTTTTAAGTATTTATAAGAAAAGCCAATTACAATTTATTTAATTTAATGGAGCAATAGGTTAATTGAGAAATGTTTTTACCTTATGACCACAGCACATATCTCACTTTTCTCCACACAAATGCAACATAAATGAAAGTGCTAAAGACCCGCGCCTTACTTTATAAGTTCGCTTCCACCTCTGCGCGTGCGACTCTTGTACGACGATTTCAAACTGTCCAGTCATTGAACGTAATACAATAATGAATGTCAAATTAATACCTTCGTTGCATAATTTTAAAAAGCTCTGTACTCGTAGTAGGCAGTGCTTACATTGACAATTTCTACGAAAGTAAACAAACTAACGCAAATTTTTGTCACTTTTATTTATTTTCACAAAGACTTGCGACTGTGAAGGACATTATGAGGCCTAGTAAATGTTTTTTGTTAATCTATCCTTGTTATGATGTAAGTGAAATATTAAATTATATTATCACTAGAGACCAGGAGCCTGGATGGGATCGATGTATTTGGCGAATTAGCTAACTTTTAACTCATACAATTTTGCAATACTTCCCTCAATAAAGCATGCCTTTTAAATCAGATGAAAAGTCTGTACCTCTTCGTCTTCATGCCAAGCCTCGTTTCGCAAAAAACATTAGAAAATAGGTAATAAAACTTCTAAGACCAACAAAATATTCGCCGTATAGAGTCGCGAGTGGTTCTGGCCGGCAGAGGGAAAGTCAAGTTCAAAATCCTCTGAGCGTCCTGTTCTGACTTCCGACAACCTGATACCAACTCTGTTACGACTGCACCGGTTTTCCGCAAACGCTCATTATTATTAACGCTTACGATACCGCATTCCCACAAATAATAGATAACGACCAGTTAAACCATTTTCAAAATAAAATCCCGTTTTCTCAGTCGTTTAATTGATTCTTTATGTTAACCATCCAACTTCGTACCGCACGCGCTCGCTGTGAAGAATACCCCTCTAGTCGTGCTCCACTGGGACGCTCAGTGCCCGGTGATGGACGCACTGGCTGCGAAAAACGACCTACGCGACAATCCGCGATTCTTTCTACGCATGCCTGTGTCGGTCCCATAGCGGAAACAACAATACTGACTGACTCATCGAGAAAATCCAAACAGATTCCTTGCTCGAAAGAGCTGCAACCACTGAACTCGTGATTTTTGGCAATTTTACGCTCACCATGCCGATAGGCTCAGCTCTTATGGACAAATGGTCCCTGCGATTACGCGAATACCAGATATGGATGGGCATACAAACCCTCTTTGTTGAACCTTCTGCTGACTTCGCATCCGGAGAACTATCGAATCTCTGTTGACCGGCCATTAGGTTCATCGGAACATTGTGCCTCGCTCCTCTGCATCGGTCCTGAGCACTGTACGACGTTGCTGACTCTCTCACCGAGGTGGTCCAGCAGGGTATGGAACTATTTATTCCATTCTCTGCGATGTCGATCGGTGGCAAGTCCCCGCCTTAAACGATCTTACAAGGCGGCCTTGCGTGAATGTTTTAAAGCCTAGGCAGAAGCCGTGACAGCTCTGTATGCGACTATCAGCGAACTTAAAAAAGCATTAACTCAGCCTCCAGGTCCTTCAAACGGGAAATCGCTAGGGAAAGGCAGAGCACATTGCCAGATATGGCGAGAAATTGGCCCGCATCCTTTCCAGTCTTCTTGTCTCTTGCCAACGCTGTCCAAAGGAATTTCGGTCAAAGTGCCAAAGTGGTGGCACTTAACAGGGAGGATGATTCGATGGTCCACACGGCGAAGGAGAAGGCCGACTTTTAGGCTGTCATTGCGTCGAACTCGACTTTGGATAGGGCATCGAGCCCGGGTTTACCCGGACCGAAAAAACCCGGGTATTAAAAAAGATCCGAAAAGTCCGTTTTAATACTTTTGTTTTTGTTATTTATTAAGTTTAAGACACTTCGAATGCAATAATAAGTAAATGGAATAAAAACACGCTTTGATAAATTATTATTTATTACGTAAAATGTAGCTGCGTTGCTACGTTCCTACCAATAAAGCCATGCAAGTTAAATGGAACGCGCGTGTCCATCTCAGGACATGAATGGAGTGAAGTGTGGAGCAGTGGAGAGGGGAGGGTGTAGCGAAGCTCGCCGCGCTTTGCCCGGGTGATGAATTATTTTAATTAAAAGCTTTAATTGATTTAAAAACAGACAATGCATTTACTGATGATGACTGGACAAATGTAGATGAGATCCATAAAATATTGGATGTTATTAAAACTGTCGTCGAGGCGCCATCTTGACGCGCTGCAATATTAGCATACAGCTGAAATTTCCCTAAAATTTGCATTGAAGAAAATGGATCAAATGAAGTCACCACTAAGTAACAAAATGGCAATTTAATTTGACTAATCTGGGTAAATATTTTGAGTACATTTAAAATGAAGATAAAACTGTTTTTTATCGTCCTACAGGTGATGAAATGCTAAACGAAATTGTTATACCTCATGAAAATTTGCCAGCGCCAGTGCCAACTGCGAGTAATTGACATTCAGTTGTCTACTATGACAAATGAAGAGGAAATGAACAGACAGTTAAGTCAAGCTGTTACTACTGATAATACTGCTCCTGAAACTGGGTCAGCTTGTCCATCAGACGATTTGCTTACTACTGTGAGGGTAGAAATGGCACTCTTCGACAATGGCGGTACGCGACAGCGAGGGCGTTACCTATCGCTGGTATATAAACATTTAAAAACTATTCCACCTACTAGCGTCGAACCGGAACGTATATTTTCTTCGGCTGGAATTGTCTGCAATAGATTGCGTTCGTCGTTGAGTGTCAAAACATTGGATGCCCTAATTTTTTTAAGTTCATTTTACATTAGTAAGAAGAAATTCTAATAATTCAGTTATGATTTCTGTTATTTTTATGTTACGTTACGATATATCCAAAATAGTATTAGTTATTATTTTATATGAATATCTCTTTTTTTCTAAAGTGGTCAGATGGTCAGAGGGTTTGTCTTAACTATGTTGTTTAAATAATGTGTCAAATGCATAACTACTTTTTACTTAGTATTTTAGTTAATTAGATAAAGAACTGATTATTAACCAAACGACTGCAATTTAAATTATATTAGAATGGTAGAATAGAACTATTCGTTACTTAATTGTCAATGCGAAGAAGAGTTTTATTAATGTTAAAATTATTTGTGATACTACAAAAATGTCTTTTGAATTTTTTATTTTTATTAGCTTTTAAATACAATAAATGAATGTTACCAAAATAATTCATTTAATGTTAAAACTAATCTCTTGCAATCTGTGATTTAAAAAAGACTAGATTACTTACTAAGTTTTGACATATTCTGAAGGAAAAAATAAATCTTTATCACTTTTTTAAACATTAAAAACTGTTTTTGTAATTTGTAAAGTACCTTCCTTTATATTTTGTACTCATTGTAGGAAATCGATATATAAACGCAGATTAGTGTATTTTAAAAAATTACAATAAAAAGATCGAAATGCTCAAAAAATCCGGTCTACCCGGGTTTTGATTACTCTTAGACCCGAAAACCCGGGTTTTCAAAATTGAACTGAGTTTCGATGCCCTAACTTTGGATGACCAAGGTGTGATACTTTAGTGCCTGAAATTATATTCCAGCAACGTGCTATCCGCAAAACCCATTGGACATTCATTAGTCGAGTGGGCCTAATGGCATCCCCCCAATTGTGTTGAGTACGTATGCTCCTGAGTTGGCTCAGGTTCTAACGCACCGTCCTACATAGCCAACTATCGCCTAACTAATAGCTATAGTCTCCTTGTTCTTCAACATAATTGAAGCCATTATTAACGGCCAGCTCCTGAGGTAACCGCGTGACCGCTGGGGTTAACAACCAGGTTGGGTCCTATCCCCGACCCTGTTTATTCTGCATATCAATTATATGTTGGAACTTAGCCACATTCATAAGAAGAAGCTTGGTGTGCTGGGCGAGATGGTATTCACTTCAGGCCTCCGCTTGCAACTGTATAAAGCGCAAATTCATCCACACATGGAGTACTGGTGTCACCTCTAGGCGGAAGCTCCCCAGTACCAGCTCCACCACTACTATGTGGAACCAGCTACCCACAGAAGTTTTTCCGAATTGAAATAGGGTACTTCGAGAAAAGAGCGCATCAATTCTTAAAAGCCCGGCAACGTACTAGATAGTTTGGTGCACTTTCTGGGAATGAGAGGTGAGCATCCTGCCCGTTTTCCCCCAGTTATATAAGAAAAACTCTAATTTGTAAAAAATAAACCATTTTGGATAAGGGTTAAGTAGTAAGCAATACATTTAGAGATTTTTTGCTATATGTTTTCAAGAATCATGCACATTTTCTTGAACATTACAAAATATGTAATAAAGTCGACCATAATATTGCAATTATTATCAATTTGTTATAAAGTTTCAACATATAATAATAAAATGTATTTGATCTTGAACATTACAATAATCCAGTAGTGCTACTATCCTTGATTCTTTGCCCTGAGATTGCTTCAGTTTTTTAGGCAAAACTATAGGTAGCCTAGGGCTTCTACTAGGATTTTTTAGTCATGCCGGGAGTTATATAACTAACTAACATTAGTTAAGTTACATATATATATTTTAGTAAATATGCTGCACATGTATTGAAGTGTCACTTAGATTCATAACCCACTACCCTTAATTTATGTTAGTCATAAGTTTATATTTTAAACAATTAAAGTCAGTTGTTACCCAGCTGCAAACAAAGTGTTTCATTTATCTAAAGTATTTACATTTCTCATACAAAAAACCGCAACCAAACATAATTCGGATCTTCACTATATTTGTCTTTACCGTAAGACACACATAGAAAGAAGAATGCCCATCCGTGATTGAACGCACGAGCTCAGGGTTAAGTGATGCATTGCACGTGTCATTCCTCTGATGACCTGTAACACAGGTACTCTTACCTTTAGCAGGCATCAGTCTCACACAAACAAGCTTTTTCCCTAAATAGACGCAAGACAATTTTTTATTTATAATAATATAATATATAACTGTCACTTGTTAATGTACGAATTTTGGGAGAAAATAAATAAAGATTATTATTATTATAATTATTCATTAGCTCAACACTACTCAAAGTAGATCTACAATGATTTGCAGTAAGTAGCAAATTAAAATACACCTCCATAAGTCATATGGATATTTTTTAATTGTTTTATAAATAAACTCAAATGAACAAACAAATCAATCTCTGATATAAAGTTGTCAAAACCGCATTGAATTAATAGTGATCTTGATAGTGTATCAGTGACAACCTAATCACAGCCCATAATTCACGTTCCATTCTTATATTAGTATATTATCAAAATAAACAAGGATATTTTGATAAGTGACGTTCACTCAATATGAATAATAAGTTATGTAAATACGTTCAAACTTAACTCTTCCGGCCGTGGACCTAAGAGTATTTTAATTGATACTGCAAGTTGAGCCGTACAAAGAGTGTACCAAGCGATGAAATATACTCACACAAAGAGTTTCGTATAGTATACTTAAGGATACTCAGGATACTAACTAAAATGTCTCATAAAACGTCCGACAGCACCACAACGCAGGAGCGTGATCGGTAATGGTATATTTTTAGTCGATAAATTACCATAAAAGTAAATGGGATTTTGGTTGAAAATTAACGTAAGAATGCACTTACATTAATATAACAACGATACTGATTATACTTTCAGCGATAAGGATTATTATATAGGCATAATACAAACTAAAAACAGTAGACATATTTAGTCATCATACATTTGTTTTATTGTTTTTTTACTACGAGTGTTCAACAAAAAGTGATAATGAATATGACACAATTAACTTTTATTAAATGTTACACTTCGTGTTCTCTAAATCAAAAAATCCCTTTCTAATAAAATCTTTTTCGATAGTTTAACGCATCAGCCCTTAAAAAATCTGGTGCTGCGGTGACTGTGCATCATCGTCTTCAAATTTATGGCCCCTGAAATATTTCTTTAATCGTGGAAATAGGTAGCAATCACTAGGAGCTAGGTCCGGTCCGTAAGAAGGATGTTATATCAATTATTTTGGTGAAGCAAAACAACGTAAGCGAGTTTGCCACGCCGTTGCTTCAGAATTTCTTCACGTAACTTTGTTATTTGTCTTACGTACAAAGTCCCCGTAATAGTGGCTCCATAATTAACGTATTCGATTATTACACCCCTTGGCTGTCCCAGAAAAATAAGCACGATCTTATATGACACTGCCGCCTCTTATTCTTTTATGGACTATCGGAAAATACTAGAATTTTTGTAGAACAAATCGTTCGACACTCGTAATTAATCCGACGAGTTCGACTAACGCTCACGCGATTGGGCCGCAGGTACCAGCGCTATGACCATCATTTTAATTTTTTCCATTGCGTAATAAGACCCCTGAAGAACCGCCATACTGGTACAAATGACCCACTATTTTGTGCCACCATCTCCCGGCCCTACCCTACCCTACCCTACTTATAGAAATATGAGGCCAAAAATAGGGAATGTAGCGCCTCTGGTTTTATTATTGAAATGTTATACTACATTAATTCTCACGCATCGCATATTAACAATGAGTCTCATTGCCTAGCTGAACATTTTTTTTTTATGATTTAGAAAATAATTATTCGGGGGTTACGTTGCATTGAAATATTTGAAATCGATCCATTACTGTTTGAATTTGTCCCTTACGTAGATACAAAATCTTTCATCTTCTTACTTCACCCCCTTGTTCTTAAATCCTAATCTATATATTTGCCCTTTTAGTTAAAGTATTCTTCCATCCCATGATAGATATGCAGCACATAAGGTTAGGTGTGTTTAATTTAAATATATAAAACAAAGTCGTGTTAGTTACACCACTTATAACTCAAGATCGGCTGGACCTATGTTAGTTAATTATCTCTTTTTTGGTAGATTCCTCTCCGCTCAGAATAGTAGAATAAGTAATAAAATATCGAATAATTTTACGAATGCAAACACCATCTGTTGACAAAATTACGCACCATTTTACATCGAATTCGTGTCACTTCAAGAAATTTAAAGAAAGAAAAAGATGCATAACCATGCTTTGATCTTGATCGAAGATTACTTCATCAAAAAATGTTGTACATATATCAGAAAGTGCTTTAACATGCAATATTGGCGCAGAGAGAAGAGGCTTATGTGTAAAACTGTCATTCTTCTTTTGCAATGGTAAGCAATAAACATTTCTGTATTTGCAAAAAAGCTGTATTAATGTTTTTAGTTTAACTAAAGTTAACACGATATTATTAGACTGTTAGGCGGAACGAACTTAGCCGGGTCAGCTAGTATTATATATTTAATGTATTTCGCTTTATAACCAATATACCGATACTAGAACACTGATAAAGTGATTAAAACTTTACCATTTTCATCAAAAAAAATCATTTTCTCAACACCCTAATTACCTTATCCATCATGTATATATTGATAATATTGATAATTATCTCGGATTTATATAATCAACATTCAAAGGTAGGAAGTGTATAGTTCGATTGTGTCTACTAGAGCTATGGCTGAAACTATAGAGAAACCTAATGCAGAGGAGGACGGCAACAAGGACGAGGTGTCTTTGGACAAGTTGCTGATAGAAGAAGTTGGGCAACTTGGAAGATACCAATGGCGCATACTAGCTCTTACTGTAGTTACTGTAATATTTGCTGCGTGGGCGGCAGTTGAATATATATTTACCACAGGAAGGATTCCTACAAGGTATGCCTGCGTAATTATTTTATTAATACATTTTTTAATAATATATACATTAATTTATAATATACAATGTAAATGTTTTAAAATATGCATTTAAAATTGTAGCTAAATATATCAATTTACCAAAATACAGCTGAAAATACGGTATTACTAATTGGACTCAATATAAAAAAATGTGAAACGTCGAAATTTTGTATCGTTTTATTTAAAAAGAAATGCTTTGTTTTTCAGATGCCTAATTCCAGAATGTGACGTTCCGGAGTCTATAGAGTTTCGACCTTCGTGGCTTTTAAACGCAGTGCCTGAGAGTGGCAGCTCTTTTGACAACTGTCGCAGGTTCAGCCCTGCCAACGCAACACTCCACACAGACACATGTCCCGCAAGCCTCTTTAACAGAGACAATGTGGTCGACTGCAAAGAGTTTCTCTATGAGAATACCGATACTGTCGTATATGATGTGAGTAGTAGTATATAGTAATGCTTTATAATCATGAATTAATTTCTAAGGACATAAAACTTGTGCGCATATTCTACTTGCTATATACTCTTTTGCCTTCTGTGCTATCCAGCTAGAAATTGACCTCTATATATACATAAACAAATTATAATAATTTTATGATTATCGTAAATATTCCTGGTTAGTTTATGAATCCGGACATGCGCCGACAATTTGAAATTGCTTCAAAAATGTCATAAATTAGTTGGTTTTCCAATTTATTGGTGGCTTGCGTTGATAAGTGAAACATTTATTCTCAACTTTTATTAGGAAAGCCACTTACGAATAGATAAGGCTTATCAGGTTAAAATACTTGCGATGTAAATTATGGGCAAAAACATCAACTTTTGGCCTGTTTTATCTTCATTGTTCTACTGACAAGACAAAGCTTTAATGCGATCAAGAAGTGATCCTCTCAAAAATACTCTTAATTGTTCTTAGTATGATCTGGCTTGCGACGAATGGCGTCGGACCCTCATAGGATCTGTCAGAACCTTTGGAACCCTCACTGCCCTACCCATCACTGGGTTCATATCGGACAGGTGGGGCAGACGTACTGCCCTCAGCATTAATGCCATAAACACTGCTTGGATTGGTGTCTTGCGTTACTTTGCAGATACGTATGTTGGTTTCCTCATTTCGCAAGTGGCCGAAGCTACTTTTGGCTCTGGATCTTTCTCTTGCGCTTATATTTTATGTGAGTATTTTCAAAGTGTTTTTATGATTCGATTGGTTCTATTAAATATTAGAAATAAATGCAATCGGCAGCAGTAATTTTTAAAATGAATATTATTTTGTTACGCTTACCTCACCCAGTTTTTTTCCCGCAGTAGTTGCCAGAAAGAGATGGCACGGAAGCGATAAAGCCACCAGTCGCCCTCGTTTTATTTAATTATGTTAAATTATATTTCTTTATACTTGCAAGAAAGTGTTAAGAAATAAATACATTATATAAATAACAAACGTCATGATAATGCATGATATCCTTTTAACACGTTTGATGTAAAATCCAGTTTGGACATTACAAATTGCTGAATCGAATAGTATTTGAGATTATTTTTAGAAATGATGTAACATAGCCACTTAATACTCTGCTAAAACTAGTCCGTTCGTATACAAATAATGTTAATAATTTTACGTAAAAATAAAGTATATTTTTATGTATATGTGTAAATACACACACCCATTAAATACCATTATATATTGCAGTGATGGAAGTAGTTGGTCCTAAGTATCGCGTGGCAGCAGGAGCTACGATGAACACATGCTTCTCCATAGGTCAAATTACTATGGGATTAATTGCCTGGGCTGTGCCCGATTGGAGGAAGCTTACACTCATTCTTTATATCCCTCAGTTCATAACAATAATTTACTACTGGGTGATGTTCGAATCTATTAGATGGTACATGAGCAAGGGACGGTATGAAGATGCAGAAAAAACACTTAAAAGGGTAGCGCAAATTAACGGAAATCAACTGTCTGATGACTCTATCCAATCTCTTAAATTGTCCGCCGAGAAAGAGAAAATCCAAGCGCTTGTAGACAAAGAAGCTAAGAAGGAAGAACCGTGGCTGATCGTAATTTTATTCCGCTACAAACGTGTATTGTTGCGTGTTTGCGTTTCGCCAGTTTGGTGGATTACCACGACGTTTATTTATTACGGCATGTCCATCAATTCAACAAATATGTCTGGAAATCGATACGTAAATTATATTGCGGTGGCTGCCGTTGAAATCCCTGGGTACTGGACTGCTTTTCTCCTTATGAGTATAGTAGGAAGACGACCAGTGTTAGCAGGAGCGTTTTGGGTCTGTGCCGTGTGTCAGATCGCGTATATTTTTATACCTTCTGGTTAGTAATATTAATACGTAGTTGTGGAAAAAATATCTGGCTTGAGAACTTTACTTACTGATATTTATATTTTTCTGCAGAAGTGTACAGTGTGTCGCTCGCCGTATACCTGGTAGCCAAGTTCAGTATTGCGATGGTTATGACCTCAGTATACGTCTATACTACTGAATTGTATCCCACAAAATACAGACATACACTGTTCGCATTCTCATCAATGATGGGCAGGATTGGATCTATCGTAGCACCACTTACACCAGCTTTTGTATGTATTAAAACTCTTTTGTTTATCAATTGTGCATTGAGATTAAGATTCCATCGTTGTTATTAGAAACTTCTAAATGAATATTCGTAAATTGCTTTACGTGGCAGCAATCACGTTACAGCTATATTTTGCTAATAATAAATTGTAAGGCGTTTCTAATTTAAAAAATCAAGATTATTTCCAACAAAGCTTTTGTCCTTTTTTATGTAAACATACTCCAACTTGTTGTCAATGCACAAAAATCAGAAATCAACAAACGTTTTATTGATGAATTAATACAACTGTATCGAAATCAATTATAATGAATTATTATTTATCTGTTTTCAGGGGGCAGCTGTGTGGGAAGAATTTCCCTTTGTTCTGTTTGCATGTTTTGCTTTATTGTCGGGAGCGTTAGTGCTAATCACTCCAGAGACTTTGGGTTCAAAGCTTCCTGACTCCATGGAAGACGCTTTTAATATCGGTCTGAAAAAAGATGATCCAAACCGTAGATAGTCACATACTATGCGTTTTATTGAATTAAAGAGTCATTTAGTTCTAATATTAGTTACTCTGACGCGTTTAGCCCGGCAATTGGTTTCGTCAGGGAAAAAATAAATGATTTAGTTTAGAAGGCTATTATGGTTATTAAGATACAATTAAGATATAATTTATTGTATTGTTATTTTTCATTTAAGAAATAATGTAAATAAAAAATACACGAAATGTCTATATCGAGTGATTTATACCACGTACCTAAGGTAATAATTGCACTTTAATTTAAGAATTATTATGGAGTTGTAAATATTTTTTTAAGTATGTTTTTAGAAGCATAGTTTCATTGGACATAAGAAATATTAACCAATTAAGAAATTACTATATATTAAGCGTTATCTAAGTACACCAAGTGCAAAGGTTAAAACATTTGTCCGTTTTCTATTTTATCCACGATTATCGTATCTGAATATTTTATTAGAAATGTCACAATGTATTTCTTTATTATTTATACAAAGAGTTTAACCAACCAATTAAAGCATGTATATCAGTGTTTCCCAACTTTTGTTGTACCCACCTTAGCCTCTTCTACTTTTTTTAATAAAAATTTTACTAGAAAATTGTTAACGAAATACTATAATTAAATTTTCAAAACATAAAATTCAAATTACAAATAATTTGAATTAATTTTTGAATAGCCCCCAATCAAATTGCCGTGTGTCGTGGGGGTGTAGGCCCCACAGGGGGCAATTCGTTGAGATGGAATGATAATGTGTGATGCCCAGTATTCCCCAAGTTTGGAAACACTGATTTATATCAAAACGGATTCACTAACGTGTAATTTTCTAACAATAATGTATACAAAATAACAAAACGTATATCATTAATAAACGTGACAACGTTGATGGAAAGATTTTGAAATTTACAAAGGGAAATAAATTACTTATACGCTACGATTACATTGTTAAAACCTATAAAATATATATTACTCTTGTTGTACAAAATGTCATATATTAATATTTAATAGAAACTGTCTCGATTTATAAGAGATTGTTTAAAAAATATCCGAATTAAAAAAAATTGTTTAATCTAGTTATAAGTAATACCTATATAATATAATATAAATGGTTACTTTGCATATTAACCCAACGGCCAGTTAACTGAAGTCGAAGGATATTATTATAGAAGGATTGGTATTTAACGTATTGTGTATTTCTCCGGTTATCAAACCCATTATTATATAGGGAGATTTAATTTGGCCAACCACTGACTAACTGAAATCTTTTATCAACTAGATAATCGCTAACTTTATAGTAAGCCTTTTACACAGCTTTTCTTTAATACATTTCTTAAATGTATTAAATGACAAAAAAGAATTACTAACTTAAGATAGTCTAGAGATAGTACGGGGAAATTGCGCAGGCACAGCCTGCGTTTGTTCCGAGTATTAACATTATTCGTATGTTCTATTCTAGTAAACTTGTCAATATTTTTCTTCACATATCTACATAATATTTTCATAAAATAAATATTAAGGCTTTAGGGTTTTCGCAGGACAATACAATTATTTTTTGATTGAATTGAAACTAGACAAGAAAAACCTTGAAACTTCTTCGCAAATTATAAAGAAAAACGGAAACTAAATAAAAAAAACTGCACTCGTATCTACTTGATAAAATCTGGAGAAAGTTGTCGAATAAAGAGCTGTTGGTGTTTTACGTACCTACTAGTTGGTAAGTAATTAGTAGAGACATAAACAAAATCTCTAAATTGCTATTGGATTAATGAAATTAAATAGACTAGAGAAAAAGTCGTTACTAACCTCTAAGATAAGAAAACTTTCTACTATCCGTAAGACTGAGTCCGTTTATTTAGATTTGTCTAATCACAGGTTGGATAATAATAATCAAAAAGATTTAAATATGTATGTGTTAATTCATGAATTAGCAAAATTAATTCATTTTTTTATCCGATAAACATAACATACAATAATTTTCGTTTCCATAATAATGCAAAAAATCTGTGGTATATTAAATCGCGAAAGAAGGGCTACAACTCATAATGAAATCAGTCTATGTACAAGCGACCTAAGTAGTACACATTCAGACGTAGGTACATAATAGGTATGTAGTATTTTCCGAACGAGAACATCGCACTTTATATCAGTGCGGAGCGCGCGCTAACGCACAGACTTTTTCCAAATACGGCCATGTATGAATAAATAACACACTTTTTTAAATATATTTTATTTTCTGTGTTTTGTGAAAAAAAATGTGTATTTTACACATGTGATATGTGATGATTATTTTATATTATTCTTAGGTGAGTAAAATTAATTTAAGATATTATTGATATAAATAAAAAAAAATTTTTTTACATATTTTGAAACAACCTAATTTGCTTAACAATACTTCTTTTACTAAATCCAATGTAAAGAACTAACATATATTACTAGAGAAATATATAAAATACATAAGTTAGTCGAAATGAGATGACTTATTATTAAATTTATAAGTTGATAATATCTAAGAATTGTTTGGTACAAGACCTATTTTCTGTAACGACCATTATTATAACCATCGCAAGAAAAACCATCCAGCTTTTTTCGACGATTATAAAAAAGTTGTCGGCGCAGTGAGAGCGACTATTTTTAGCTACGAACGGGTAACAGCTTCGATAATGCTATCACTTTAAGCACTTCCTTATCTTCGCATAACGCATGTTATAAACTAGTAACGAACGGTAGTACTATAGTAAAATTGTAATTCGATTTCACATAGTAGGGTACCTACCGTAGATATTTTCAGTATCAAAAACAATTTAAAACGTAAAGAATAATAATTTGTCGGTACTAAAAAACAGGATAAAATAGTAAATGTAAAACTAAAATATTCTCATTATGAATTATTTATTTCTAATACCTATAACTTCTAAAGGTCGTCTCTTAATATATTCAAGTTCTCGACATTATTTAGTGAATTTTTTATTTATATAATATGTAACATCTAATCAAATCAAGAATTTGAAATTACATGTATTAATAAAATCTACGTTGTACTCGTATTTACTTTTGGGAAAAGTGATTTACATTTAAATTATATAAAATTAGTTTGCTCGTTAATAGATGATTTAATGTAAGGTTTTAATCTATGAATTTTATAGACAAATTTTCGAAATTCTTCTTATTTTCATTCGTTTAATTAACAGGTCTTACATCAATTACAATTGTTTTGTTTTGGCAAAACAAACACAACAAAAGCATTCGACACGTGCAAAAATTACACATCTAAATAAACAATGATGCTAATTTATTGTGAATATATTCAGACAACAATAGTTTCATTTAAAGAATAAACCAATAGTGACTATCACTTTCTACAAAACTAAGTAACATGTGTTTTGTCAAGGACTGGTCTATATATAAAACCAAGTAAAACTTGGGCGATTTCGAGTGAATTTGGATTTTTTGTAATATAAATTAGCGTGTCTACTTTGCCATAAATAATCAATAAGATTAGCACATTTTAATAGAAGTTTCATTGAGAGTAATATATAGACTTAATAAATGCAACGTCGTACAGCCATAAAAGCATTGAGTGCAGAAATGACATCTTTGCGTCAGGTTCAACATACATATTTATAAAATTGTCTCTACACTGGTACATATTTAATTAGTACCAATATAGAAACAATATTTTACATTTATTGGATTGATATAATACTAATAAAAAAAAATTAATGAATATTGTTAGAAATTTCTTACGAAATCAACATTATGTTGTTTACAACTAAAGTAACCTACGAAGACAATAGTTTAAAACAAATAATAAAAACCACTAAACTAAAAGCAAATTTTATTATAGTAATGCGTCGTAAAGACATTTCCCCGCAAGCGATAACGTACCTCAGTACTGGTTTCTAATTAATTTTTATTCTTTTCCAAACGTTTTATGACGAAATAAACACTATAAACACAAATGTGTCACTATACACACAATTTGAAAATATGAAAATATTTAGTAATTTTTAAGTATTATACTTTTTTGAGTAGTACTGCTAAGTTGGGCCATTAGGGTTTGTCTTCATATTAAAATTTGATATATAAAAATATATATGTATCTGTCGAGTCAAGTCAACCCCTTTTGAATAACCATTTCTTAAGCTTTCTTTCTCGCACTTGTAAAATTCAAATTCAAAAATCATTTAATAATATAGGTAACACATTGTACACTTATGACTCGTCAGTTAAGAAATACATATTAATGCTTCTAATTTTACATTTAGTGTAGGTGTACCAACTATCAGAGAAAATATTGTAGCAGAGCTGTTTAGGTAATGACCATAATATGTTTAATAACTATCATAACGAATAATAATATAATGTCAATGTAAAATCCCTTTAAACGGAATAGGGGTTAACGATGAGAATTATTACGTGAAATTAAATAACAATCGCCGCCCCTAAGGGGCATGTAATGGTACATATAAATAATATATTTGAACTATATTTATATTTACATTTAATCGCATGCAAACAATCACGTATCATCCACGGGACAGTGTCAAGGGCGTTCTCACACGCGGAGATATTTTGGATATCTTCCAACACCCTTTGTTTACAGACTAAATTTACTGACACACAAACAAGCAAAATAAAGCAAACCGCAAGCTTTTTTTGGAAGTATCACGATATAAAGACTTATTTTACCGGTTTTTAGTCGGTTTGTAAAATCTCAACTTTTGTATCAAAAATCATAAGGGTGAATATGATTAAAATTGTATTTTGACGCTAATTTGTAGGATTTTTCTTATTTTTTGTAAAAGCTTGGGGTTTTGTTAGGATATATTATGTTACATAAATCAACTTAATGCCACTCCTCTGTGGTCCAGTTTCACATAGGAAAGGGTTGTGAGGATATATTAAAAGGAACAAGTGTTCAACGAACAATGCTGTTTATGAAAATCGACTCTCACCGACAAAACATTTGTACAATAACCGGAATTAGACGAAATATCAGTGTATAACTTTTGTGTAATGGAGGATATAGTTTTGTGTTTCTTTAAATTGTAATTAACACTACATTATACACTTATAGCTATTTAAATAGAAAGCACATCGTAATAATAAGCATATATAATATTATCTCTTCTAAACCTATAACATTAAAAATATTTCGATATGATATACTATATAATATATGTCGCAGCCAACTTAAGCTAGTTGGCTGCGACATATAAACGATTTGTCAGTTATATATAAACGATTTGGTTTAATGTTCCTATACTTCACCTTTGTGCTCCGGGTAATCCAAATAAGTATAAAGTAAATATAGCAATTTAAAAGTCGCCGAAGCGTGGCACATGTTAGCAACAACCTACAATTTGTTAGTCGTAGCATTATCATTTATAATATACGTATATATACTCATCTTTTGCATGCATGTTTATACAGAACGAATAATATTTCAGCACACCAAAGTAAATATGTTTGATACTTTTTAATAGGCTTTTATTAATTAACTTAGTAGATAGTTTGGAAACTGTTTAAAGTACTATTTATCTCTTTGTAAAAGCATACCAAAAATAAGCAAATTTAAAGCAAGCAATAATGTTATGGTAGTTAACAATGGTTAACGTAAGAGTTACGTGATCACTATTGCACGGGTTCTCCGACCACGTAACGTAACTCTACTCTTCATAAACCACTCTAAGCGTACTCTATATTTCTACGGGAAATATCGAATGTTCCACTGCCGTAACATGACGATCAAGATACCTACTCTATTAAATATATAGTTATTTCCGCTACTGGGTAAAAAATATACTTATACACAATATTAAATTATCATAATAACATTTTAAAATTAGTAAGAACTTTTACTATACAAAATCAGTAACATGTTAGATTTGATAAAAGTTTAATAAGTTTCATTAATTTATTACAGATATCATGCAACGTGTGTGCTAGTAAAGTTTGGAGTCAAGACAAGGTACATTATCTTAAAGTAAGTTTTATAATTTTTTAATAACTTTAAAACCTATCATAAAAAGGGAAGTTCATCCTCACTTGAAGTATCACAGCAATTATAAGAACGAGAGAGCATAATCCATTTAATCAAACATTCCAGATGGGGGAACAAGGAGTAGATGGCTTCAATTTGGACGGAATTCTTAGTGAGCTCGGAAGCTTTGGGAAATATCAGCTGCTGCTTCTACTGCTCCTGGGTTTCCGTGACTCGTTCCTTAACATGTGTAACTTTAACTATGTCTTCACAGCTGCTGATGAATCATTCAGGTTTACTATTCCCTTAAAGTTAATTAGGATTAGCAATTAATACTTGTAGATGACGTCACAAGATTAACCAAATCCTACAAATAAATAAATGTGCCTGAAATGAAGAACATATTAATTTTATAATCAGTGAGTTTCATGTGTTTTAAAGTGTTAAGTGAATTATTTTACGTCACTTCACAATTTATGTCTCATGAGGAATTGAACAAAGAACCTCCGTCATAATAAAAATGTTATACGGGCACTGGAAATTTATTTAACAATGGTAAATTAAAATCTTCATATAATGGGCATAACTAATCACAGGACACAAATCAAATTCAGAACCAACACAAATGTTTAATAATGGGGACGTAAAGTTTTTGTGGTGGGTGTGCTGTGTGGTGGTGGTAGTGCCCCGACTTACTGGCCAAAAGCAATAAATATTCAACGAATTATGTATTTTAAAGATACAGCTATAACGGATGAGAAGGAATAAATGGTGCCTTGCCTAGTTTTTAGATGGTTCAATTAGCGGAGACAAGTTTAAGGAAACAATAAAATCGCTTAGTCATAACCATGGACAGTAGAGCAAAGGTCGCAGACACTTCGGGGCTATCTCTTGTTATTATCACGGCTGTTACACTTTATGATTTATTATTATTTTAGACTCGTGTATCGGTAAACGTGACGATATGTTTTGAATTTGCCTTTATGCGAATAATGCGAGAAACGCGTGAAATGGCAACCAAAATATTAAATGACTAACGTAAGAGTAAAACGCTAATACGAAATGATTTATGCAATTACTAATTATTAAATGGTCATATAAAATATTAAATGGTCATATAAAATGTTTGATGATAAAGAAAACACGAAATTTCACTTCTGAGAATAGTAACATCAAAAATTCTAATATTATTAAGAATTTACTAGATCATCGCGATTGGTCCAGTTCTTTAATTTAATAATTTCGATCGGCCGGTTATGTTAAAGTCGCATTCTTTATATTTATTACATAAAGACACGTAAAGCCTCGTTGCATGACATACTCGTATTTGCTATCGCTCATTTAAAGATATTCTTTATAGGCATATTTTTATATATTCCTACCCAGCAAAAGAATAATTTCGCTGGGAATCAAACCCAAGATCCCTGTGCCATCACTATCCGCAATAACATCTCAGTTACGGAGCTGCTATGAATATTAATATACTATGAAAAACGTTCCAGATGCCTGAAGCCATCTTGCGACACCAATTCAACTGACTCCTGGATTTTATTTCCTTCCAATGACACAACCTGCTATAGATCCGACAACACATCCTTGAGCTGCTCTTCTGACACATTTGGCCCTAAAGTCGTACCCTGTGAAGAAATCATATATGACAAATACGACAGTATAGTTGCTGAGGTAATATAGCATTTTATATTTCCTATGAAAAAATACACGTGCAACATACAGTCTATATCAATACATTTGTTCTTTAAAGCTCGTACATTAAAAAAACAAAAACAATATTTTCACTGACTATATTTAGTAAACACAATCATAATATATTAAAGCAGTCACTCGTGTAATTTCCATGTTATCGCTAAAACACTCGACAAAAATAATAACAAACGGACCAGACGGTAACAGAGTTCATTAACAAGGTTACTATTTGTTGCCTCGCTCTATGTGATCATAAACAGCGCTTTGTAATGAACGAAACACAGCTAAAAGACGTAAAGACATTTTGTAAGTTAGTAAGTTCGAAGGTTCGGCATCGCACGCTTAACCACTAGGTTTACTCTACTCTACCAGTCCTGAAGGGATGTTGACGCATCCCTGCAAACATTGTACCCGGCCTCCCCCAGCTTTATAAAACAGGGCGAATTGGCTGATGTGAATGGCCCTTGCTGTGCCAAGGTCCATTCCACATCATTCGTGGCCGTAGAGGACCGTGAGCTTAACGGCTGATAGCGTGGCTGGATGCGGACAAGGCTACGCTGTTACCGTGTCCTGCCTCGGGCGATTGCTGGCGGCGCCGTGGGGTTTTAGTGGGTATGCACAGCAGCGATTCCCACATAACCCTTCACCATCAGGCAACCGTGCCGCGGGAGGGTATGCGTAACGCATTTACCCACAATAAAAAACTCTAAGTCACACCGCTTTATATTGAAATGTATGTTTAATATAAAGCAGTGTCTTCGCTAGAAGATTTAATTATAATTCGACTGGTTTGCAAAATTATCACCCTCTTAAGTAGACATCATTACATTGCCTAAGTGCTGTAAAATAACACAAATTAGGAACTCACATGGGACAGTAATGGCAGAGACGCAGTTTCTTAGATTTAATGAGCGAACGTACGATTTAACGTCTCCAATGATTATTTTTATTCATAACGTACAGATTTAGATGTTCGTTACTAAACGTATGAGATAGAAAGAGACGAAAAAGTATTATGATTTAAAACTTGAGCTTATAACTAACAAAAAATTACGACGCTAGACTAACTAAAAACTAACTTGGCTTTTTGAAAAGTTCTTAAATCTAACACTTCTGTTACCTATAAAGAATATAAGTATAATCGATATAAGTATAATTTGGACATTACCAAAAACAAGAATTGCAATTTATGATTGATGAGTTTGGGAACAAGTAAAGGGCTCATTTTGGCTTAGTGTGCGATGATTGCTTAGCGCTTACATTGGTTAGCGCTTCTAATTATAATTAATATATATATAATATAGTTACGTAACTCGAACCATTTTAATATTTTGTTCATGGCAGTAATTTTAACACTCATATACTTGGCCACGTTGAATATATTGCATAATTTAAAATTAATATTATATTTTTTCTCAACCCGTTTGCTACTCATACTTTGTTTTTGCTCAGTATTATTATTTTTATTTAAACTCGTGATTTATCGATCACGATAGACGTTACATAATATTACTAAATACACAACAATAATAAAATAGTGACATAATATCACATTTACAATGATGTCGAAGATGTGCATTGAGATAATCTAGCTATATTATATTGAATTATATTAGAATATATCGTAAATTTCAGTTTGACTTGGGATGTCAGCCATGGAAGGCTACACTCATCGGGACTGTGCACAACTTGGGGCTTGTCTTCTCATTTGTACTCTCCGGATTTATTTCAGACAGGTGAACACTACAAATGTAATTGCTAGTAAGAGAGTCGTTTTCATTTTAATAAAAAATCGGTTGTCTGTAAAGTCGGTTTTCTGACGATAGTTGAACGTGACAACGTCATAAGAAAATACTGATGGAATGGTTGCATTTTTCAAATGAAAATGTTATTTGTTTGATAGATATTTTGTATGGATATAGAGAAGGAGGTAAATGGAAATCACAATGAGACTGGATAGAGAGAGAGACAGATGTCAAACGGTGCCGAACGCAGAGGCCGATTGTGCCTCTTTGTCGCTCGTTCCGCGCTCTCGCTTGCACTTCAAGCCTTAAATGGAACGCCTCAGAGCGAGGTAACGCCGCATGCGTCATGTTTTTTCGTGCATGCAGCCGGCTCCATCGAATTATAAGACGTTGTCACGTCAAAAACTCTATTGCTACGAACACACGACCTATAAGTTAAGAATTGCACGCTTTGCCTGTTGTAACAAAGAAGATGTAAGAAAAATTTCATATCGTAATTTAGTTATTTATTGTCAGGTATGGACGGAAAGTGATTATCGTTAGTACCCCCCTAATGGTGGGCATCGCCGGTCTACTCAAGTCTTTCGCCATGGACTACTGGACTCTTCTTGGTTTAGAATTTCTAGAAACTGCCCTTGGTTATGGCAATGCATCTATGGTTTTGTGTAAGTTTTTTTATATTACAAATCATTTTCTTATTTGAAAAGATCGTAACTATGATCCTTAATCATAAAACTCTTCACCCAATGAAATTAGTCATTAAGCATAATATATATAATACTAGCAGACCCGGCCAAGCGTTGCTGTGGCTAAGGTTTTTGTAATATGACATAGTAGTAAACTATTCAAGGGAAACGGTAGGAGAACACCAGTCATGGGGACCACCATGCTTTTTTGGTGGTTATGCCATTAAATTGTTGCTCATGTGAAACGTTGGTACTTTCAACAGAGCGCCATCTGTTAGAATTGTGACTCAAATAATAAACAAATAATTTGCAATAAAATAATATTGCTGGTAAAATTAAGATGTAAGCCATCCTATCCATCCTATCTTTTAAGTTAGATCAAACTGCACACGGTGTGCAAATTTGATTAAAATCGGTTAAGTAGTTTAGGAGTCCATAGCGGACAAACAACGTGACGCGTAATTTATATATATTAAGATAATAATTTATCTAGTTAGTGTATATAAGTAACTAACGGCTCACCTTGGCTCCGCCCGGGTAACCGTAGCCTGTAAACCTTGAAAAATTATATATTAAATTCTTCTTCCTCAGGAATTCCGCACAAAATTCCGGTGCAGTAGTTATAGTAGTAAAGTATCGGGTTTCGCAATAGAACGTGCATTTATTAAGTATAGGCTAAACAAATAAATACAAAAGGTATAGTTGAAATAAAATATAGGATGATTAGGTAATTAAATGAAGTTTATTTTTTAAAAATAACATCATCTAAATGACGGCCCTCCCGAAGACGACACTCCTCTAAACAAGAACGCAGATTTGTGAAAACTCTTGTCAATAAATCTGGGGTGATAATAGCTGCCATCTCCCCACGGATATTTTCCTTTAGCTGACTGATTTTCCTCGGATTGTTCATGTAGACTTTATGTTTGATGTGTCGCCACAAACACATACCCAAAAAAAAAGTCAGGAGGCGTCAAGTCAGGGCTACGCGGGGACCTCTTTTGGAAATTAGTCTTGCAGGAAACATCTGTCTCACAACCGCCATAGAGGCATTTGATGTGTGACAGGTCGCTCCGTCTTGTTGGAACCAAGTCCTCTTATTCGCTATTCTCGATCTCGCAAGTTCTGGAGTCAAATATCCCTCTAACATCGCAACATAGCGTTCTGTGTTAACGGTGATGTTTCGTCCTCATGAATCTTCAAAGAAGAAAGGGCCAATAATTCCTTTGCTTGAGATTGCTGCCCATACCGTTACTTTAGGACTATGCAGTGGTTTTTGATGTTTCATTTTGAGGCTTAAGCTGAGTGAGGAACATCAGTCAGCTGAAGGAAAATATCCGTGGGGAGATGGCAGCTATCACCCCAGATTTATTGACAAGAGTTTTCACAAATCTGCGTTCTTGCTTAGAGGAGTGTCGTCTTCGGGAGGGCCGTCATTTAGATGATGTTATTTTTAAAAAATAAACTTCATTTAATTACCTAATCATCCTATATTTTATTTCAACTATTATACCTTTTGTATTTATTTTTTTAGCCTATACTTAATAAATGCACGTTCTATTGCGCCACCCTGTTTAATATAATAAAGTAAATATATCGCAAACAAACTTATGTATACTATTCTGTATGCTGTTATTAGTTGTAGTAGAATTCGAGAAACTATTCATTCAACCCCTCTTCGTAACAGTTTTAGTTAGACTAGCTGACTTTTTGTGGGCATTTTCAAGCTTTTTGTATTTAATTTCTTGTTTATTTATATAGCTTATGAGACTTATGAATATAGGTTGTAGGGGATCTACTTAAATCGTTATAATAGATATATATATATATATATATATAACCACACACACTTAACTCAAAAAAGTAGTTAAAACATGCAATGGATTCTCGATCGGTTCAGGAAAACATCGTGATAGAAATGCCAAGCCTTGGGTCTAAGGTTGGCGAAAACGAACTGTGTCTGTGTCTGACACACGCCATGGCAAAAACGATGGCGTGTGTCAGACACAGAAGGCTGGTCACCTACTTGCCAATTAAGAAAATAAGATGATGAAGAAACAAATAGAGATATCTAAGGCCTGTTTGTGGGTTTAATTAGCTCTAGAAGCGGTCAGCCACAAGAGCCGGGTGGTGTATTCCTGCATATCGGACATCTTAGCGTGCCTTGGAGGCGCGTTCTTTGGGCTGATTGCATGGAAAGTGCCATATTGGAGACACCTTATGAGAGCCATCTACGCACCACTACTTGTAGTAGTAAGTTAATTTTTAGTTATCATCGCTATGGGTCGCGAAATACTTTAGAAATAAATAAAATACTGTAATACACAAACTCTACATTCGATCTATATATTATTATTATTATGTTTAAAGACAAATGATATACACATATTTTCAGGTGTTTTACATATTTCTGATGGACGAGGGAGTAAGATGGCTGCTGGCCCATAACAAGAGGGATGAGGCTGTTCAAGTATTGAATAAAGTAGCGAAAATTAATAACATTACTCTATCAAAAAATGCGCAGGATATGCTATCCAGCATTAGTGAACCAAAAACTGACCTTAATAAGGTATATTCTTCAGATTTATTGATTAATTAAAAATATAATATATAAAACACTTTTACTTGCTAAATGATAAATAAGAATATTACATTTTTGTTTGTTTGTTAGAGCAAAAGTTTCTTTGAACTAAACTTCACTTTTTTATACTGGCGGTTTTAAACAAAAAATTTTATGTTACGATCGACAAACACGTAAAGTTGTTTTACACATTATGTCTAAAACTTACACAAAATAATAGTAGAAAATATTAAACATGTAAACATCTGATGAACTTAGCTCACAGCACCCGGGCTAAAAAACACTCAACAATTAAGAGTGAGAATTTGTAAAGACTTCTATTATTTATATTACTGTAACTTTCTATATTACTGAAAATCACATTGCGTTATTTAATTTCTTTATAACTTTGAATCTATATAAATAATAAATATTTTCGAAGAAAATCAGTAAATTTTGAAAATCATACATTTTATTTTAGTGAAGATCTGCAGTCTATGAAATTTTAGCCATCCAGCCTTTCATAGATAACAATTTCATTATATAACAACAATAGTTATTAAATGTAAAAGGCGACCTCACAAAGAAAGACAAAAGATGTGAATAGCAGTTGAATGCTCAAGTTATTGAAAATTTAACCGTGAAACATATTTTTATGAATCATCATCGATTATTATTAGACAAGTGTATTTAGTTTCATTCAAAGTTAACAAAATAGTTACAATATGGAATTTATATTAATACATTTTAAAACTAAGTTTATATTCATACTTTGACTGCAGCATTAAAAATGATATAATTACATTTTCAGGTGGAGAATACTGCCGAAGAAACTCCTCATATTTTCACTGTTCTCCGGTCAAAAACAATTCTCTTGCGAATGGCACTAATCGCCGCGTGTTTCATCTGCTGTTCGTTCGTATTCAGTGGTGCTATTATCAATTCCGTCAGCATTTCTGGTAGCAAATACTTGAACTTTTCGATCATGATGTTAGTTCAGGTTCCGACTAGAATAATCACAGCTCTGACATTGACAAGGTTCGGAAGAAAGGCGCCGATTTGCGTCGCTTATTGCTTCTGCGCCTTATTTTTTATGGCGTCGGCATTTGTGCCTAAATGTAAGTAATGTTTTGGGTGTTTATAATATTAAAGACTCAAATTCATATACACTACTATGAACTTTTTTCAAATTATCGTTGAGTTGTTAAGATTAGGTTAGAATAGCAAAAGACATAGATAGATTACAAAGAAGATAACTATAACATCTACAGTCGAGCCTTCGAATCTTGGATGTACACGAATGAGTTTTCTATATTTGAGCGCATTTACTTGCATACAGGAAAGGGAAACATCGTAAAGACAGAGACACTAAGGCATCGTAAAGAAAAAAACATTCTAAGACTTAAGACACGCCATATACAGTACCCACGTGAGCACAAAAGGCTGTAGCACCACTATATAAAATATATTAGAATAGATTTAAAAACATCATATTTATTTCCAGCAATATGGTGGGCGTCGGTATTGTTCTATATTGCTGGCAAGATGTGTAGCAGCTACGGAATCTTCTCCGTACAAGTGGTTGCCATGGAGATCTTCCCCACCACCTCCCGTAACTGCCTCACCAACGTTGCTAACACTGTGGGCAGGTTGGGTTCAGTCTTAGCACCGCAGACACCGTTACTAGTACGTTTTTGTAATACTTTTTATTATGAGCTCTCGTTTGATGATTATGAAGAAACTAATTCGAAGGGTTTATACCGCGTTTTAAATAAAGCGGATTAATGTAATAAAAAACGCTTATCATTTATAGTTCAAATAGAAACTGTTTTTAAATACTAATCCGTCAGATATTCAATTGTCCTAACAATGAAAGACAAGATGTCGCTACTTAAAACGTATAGTCTAAAATAATGACGTACTTTTAGTTATAGATATAATTAATCATTTTATCAAAGAGATAAAATTGTACTCATAAATGTAAATAATAATGCCACGCTCTAAATTCTTTAATAAGACGATGATATACGACGACGATCTCTAGAACTAGCCTTCTGAAAAGGGCACATATGATTCGGTGTTTTACCTTTGTTAACGAAATACATACGAGTAGGTTAACGGGGTTTTTGTTGTCCGTTGAGTGCACTGACAAAGTTCTATTATTTGTTAGTGCCTATAGTAGTTTTTTTGTTTTTCCTAATAAAATTTCTTATGTGTTTTTTTCGTCTGTAAGTTTTATTCACTTATTATGCACTCTTGTGAATTTCGGGTCACCCGTTAGGACAGGCGTGTTTTTATAAAGTAAATATGTATCTATTACAGGAAAAAGTTATGCCTGGCCTACCGAGCATTGTCTTCGCATTGGCAGCACTAGGCCCAGCATTTCTGGCACTTCTGCTGCCAGATACAAGTCACACAGTTTTACCAGACCAAGTGGCCGATGCTGAGAAACTAGACGCTACTAAGGCCGAGGAAGTAGCAACAGAAAGCTTTAAACAGCGGTTATGATCTTTGTAGATCTTGCATCCCATAACCAGTTTAATGACTTTACCATGCCCAATAGCTCCTCTATCTATCTCTCTCTTTGTACAAGAAGCAGCTTGGACGTAAGTAATGTTTTGACTTAGTAAATAAGATTTGTGAACCTGATGTAAGGATTTCACCATGTGTACGAACTTTCAACCTATCTACAATTAGGATTATTGTAAGTTGTGATACTGTATTTTATATTTGTAAAAATGTATTATTAAAATGTATTTAATTAATGTTATATAATAGGCATTTTTACAATGGCCGCGGTGTTTATTACGAAAATAATACCTTTTAAAATATAGGTTTTTGATAAGTATGAACATTCTTTATAAACATATGATCTAATGTTCCACTTTAATAAAAGCAATATTTTTAAGTGTGTTTATATTTGTGTTGCAACGCATAATATAAAAAATTGGTATATTGGGCATTGCATTAATTAAATCATAGTAATCGTACTTATAATTCGTTTTTGTAAGATTCATTGTGGAATGTAAAGTAAGGACACGCGTTATAAATATAAATTAATTGACTAAATAAAGCGATCTCATTCTGTGTTCATTTCGTTTTATTTTCAAAGAATCTAATCTAAAAAATATATAATAGTAATTATATAATAAAATGATGACAAGATATGCGTTTATTATTTGTTTATTTAGTCACAACATGATATTACTTCAAATCTATAAAAAACGTGACGCACTTACTATTAAGTTATTACGGTACAAAGGTTCGACTCATTTAACAAGAAACTAAATCGCTTGGTGTAGACACCAAGCGATTTAGTTTGCGAAACCTGAACACCTGTGCAACACCGAATTTACCAGTGAGGTTACACCAGAGGGAGAGCTGTGAGATCTAGAATTTAAGCAAACATTTTGGAAAAATGTCTACAATATATCAAAGAGAAATCCTGAATCCCAAATCTATAGGAAAAGAATGAACAGGTTGAGTCTAAAAATTATAATAGTATATCATAATGGAATAAATTATGATTTTATAAGTGATAATTTAAAAAAATATATAATAAAGTCTTCTCAGAGACAAAAACTTCTAGAAAGTTGAAGTTCTTTTTTTAACTTTTTTGCTTTGTAGAATGTGACCTTATAATTCTTCGTGTCTGTAACTTATATAATTCCACTATCATATCACTTCTTTTATCATAATATTATGTACTATTGAAATAGTTTAATCTTTAAAGGAAAACTGATTATTAGTGTAAAATCGAAACGAATTATTTAAAAGGTATATTTTTAGCGTCGTTGAGTTTTAGAGGATACATTAATAATTTAATGTCATTAGCTAGCCATTGTGAGCCAGACCATATTAACGCATCCGTAAGCAGTTTTTAAACAGATATGTTGACATGTAAAAGTTGTGGGTTATAACTGAGTAATTACACGTTTCACAATATTTATAATAATTGCAGCAACCGAAAAAATATATTCACTCATGAAGGCGGACATAATTATAGGTATCGATACCAACATTAAGTATCGAAGCTGAAAGGGTCCAAATTGACCCAACTCATCACGCAGAACATCATCTAAATCGACTCTCTTTATGTCGTCAGTTTTTACTTCGGTGGCGTGTTCCATTTTTAATTTTTCAACGCTCACGCCCAACTTCTACACTTTCCTATCATTTACTCAATAAATATAATATTCGGTGTATCAGCTATCAGACAAAAGTTTGTCTTAATCTAATTTTACTATATTATCGACGGATTAGAGAAATATAGTTAAAAAGATAAATCATTTTATTACCAGAGTGAAGTAATAGTTAGATTCGTGACTTGTATATAATATTCAATTGCTAATATCTAAGAAGACATAACACAAAAGAACTGAGGCCAAGAAGCTGAGACTCGATAGTTTGCTGTTAGAGACGAAACAGAAATGATTTCATGCTTGTGTTATAAGACCTGATAAACTTTCGCAAGAAATATTGTGATAATATTTCGATACAGATCAATTAGTGTTTTGCATTGTCATGCTTTATGCAATGTATTTTTTGTGTGTACGTAGAAATCTGATTCCCATATTAATATAACTGCATAGTTATCATAAATTACTCATAACATATAGTACATATGTACTTAATTTAAGCACAAATAAAACTAGAATTTGATATAAAAATAAGAAATATTTATTACTATGCGTGAATTATTTAAAAATGTATAATGATTAGACTTTAACATTTCCTTCGTCATTACTTGTCCCTTCCAATGGCCTCTGCATCAGCAAGAGTATCAGGCATTTTGGTGCCCAATGTTTCGGGCTGAGTGAGAACCAGTAGACCAGATAGTATAGCCATGCCACCGAACAACATTGACGGAATGCCGTGCCAATAGTCCATCTGTGATAAAACAGTAAAATAAAATATAATAAACTACCTCAGTTTGCTCCCACAGTTTTACCTAAAACATTAATCCCTTATTCTGTTTACACTGACAAAAATTCCTCACAGATGATCTGCTATCTATACCTCATATTATAATACTAGTGCAGACTGTATTCTTCAGATTTTTCACCGACTTCTTACAGAGGCTTTTACCGACGAAATCATCAAAAAAGTCCAGAAAATAATTTTGGATAACCGAAAAGTGAAGTTGTTTAAGCTAGCCGATACCCTAAATATATCAAAGGTGTTGGACATTTACTAGATAAATATTTGGTATATGAAAGCTCTTCAAAGTGGGCGGCGCGCAAGCTCACAATCGAGCAAAACCAACAACGAATTAATGATTCTGAGCAGTCTTTGGAGCTGTTCAATCGTAATAAAGATTTGGCTCACAGCGACTTTTTCTGTTATCAGACCTTAATATATTATATACAGATATTTGTTGCTTGTTTTTAGCACTAAATATAACGAATATAGTTTTTGCAGAATTGATAGTTAATAAGTTGTTTTGGAACCATTCGCGGAGAGAGTTATGTAACCTAAAAGCTTTATTTATTAATTAACGTTTTACGCGAGCATTAATTTAGTGATAATTACATAATTTCGCTTGGGAGTTGTAAAAATGAATACAATTTCCATATAATGAGTGGTTTATCTTCTGGAGCCTGGTTGGTCGTACGCGCAAATTATTTCTGTTTCGAGTATTATACTGGTGAAAGTCACCATTATTAGTAGGGATGTTCAAATATAATATATTATATTTGAATATCTACAAGAACCTACAAGAACCGCCACCGAAATATACTACTTTATTGTTTGTTAACTTGACGTTATTGATTGCTAAGCTATTGATTGTTTTCCACATCATATTAATATGTGTGTATGGTAATATGACTGCTTTGTAATTTGAATTAGTTTGTCTACTTTGATTCTTTTTTCAAAAAACTCACGCTGCAATGTGATGTCAAAACTATTTATCTTAACCGCACTCAATATGACATTTAGTGAAGTTTAATTAGATTAGAATAGATTAGTAATTAAATATATTATTTCTTTGTTTATCCAGTCTTTCTGTGATTATATAAGAATCTAAGTTTTTAACATTTTTCTCGTGTGACTTTCATAATAGTTTTTTCTTGTTTATATCGTGTTTTTATATCTTCGCTTTCATGAACTCAGTTTACAGTTTCAAGTAATTGATAGCTTTGTAGTGTGAGTATAGCCGAGGTGCTGGTTTTATATTTTTTATAATTCCTAAATATAATATAATGAGCCTATGGTCCGATAAAGGGAAAATTAATTTAGGTCATGTGGAATGCGTAAATTTTTGCAAATTGGTTGTAACTTTGGACTACGTTACAACCAATTGACTGCCTAAAAGGCCTCTAAAAAACTTTAAAAAATGTGTGTTAACTGGTTTGTAGACAACTCTTAATTCTAGACTATATTTCTCAAGCCTGATAGATGATAGTAATATTACTAACGATAGAGGCATCCAATCTAGTAATCTGTTGCTGGCATTTTCGGCTACAATGCTTGTGGTTGATATTTTGATATCTCTATCTATTTTGGGGATCGGTGAGCTCTCAAGTTACGTAGTCCGTGCTTAACATATATTTAATATGCTGCGCTGATATTTTAACTATGTTTCGAAATATTCATCGAGCCCAAGTTGATAGCAAATCCCTCCACTTATTGGTAACCACATTAAGCGAATCTAAGAATTTAAGTACTTTGATTTATTTCATAAGTCACACTGTTCTTGGGCGTATGATTACCGGGTCAATGTTAACAATGATTAAAAGCGACGCGACAAATTACTAGATCATCGTTTCAATCAGTCTACCTATATAATCGTCTTTCTAAAATAACTTTAATAATTATTATTAAAGTAATTATTAAAGGCTACCTTATTGTGCTGCATGCAGAACTGCTTTTCTGTCATTTGCTATAAAATTACTTACAAGTACAGGTGTGAGCGGTGCTGTGATTGACCCAATTCTGCCAATCATCGAGGAGAAGGCCAGTAACGTGTGTCGAAATTCTGTGGGGTACAGCTCTGATGTGTAGAGGTACAGAGACGTGAACACCAGCGAGATACCGAATTTACCCGCGAGGTATACCACCAGACGGACCACGCTTAGATCTAGAAAAGATGTCATAGTTTCAAACTTTTCATTAATGCGCGCCTATTTATTTTTTATTTATTTATCACTACTTTTAAACGCGTTTTGACGGACTAATTTACAACAAACAAACTTTGTGATCTTGGAATGTTATCTTAATCATTTGTTATCTTCATCAATATCAAAATATATTTCATTAATAAATATGCCCGATATTGAGATTCTTACAGGAATAAGACAAAACATACATGGCCAAATAATTAAATATTTATTAAACTACTGACCGTATTTACTCAAAATTGCAGAATAAATCTTACCGGAGGGAATAAACACAAAAGCTATATTACAAGCGGCGCTGAAGAAGAACCCAGCGGACAGGGTGGGTTTCCGTCCAATCCTGTCCAAAATGAAAACAGCCGTGTAGAATCCTGGAATCTCGATGGCAACGGTCAATATGTAGTTCAGATAGATTGTGTCAGAGAGACTGGTGGAGTTGATAGAGAGACCGTAGTAGACGAAGGTTGTGGTGATCCACCAAACGGGGGTGGTGCACACTCGGCGTAATAAAATCTTAGATTTTAATATTTTGTTGAAGAGGTTATCTTCATTTTCCTGTAACATTCATAAAATTTAATCGCTTTTAGAAATGCGATAAAAATAATCCTACCTACGTGTGTAAAGATTAGTTATTGCAAGGCTTTTTGACTAACTGCTAACGGCCCACTAAACAAAGGACACGTACCTTGGTTGACTCTGCAGTCACAACAGGCGGCAGCAAAAGTCCCCGCATGGACTTCTCGCTGATATGTGTCTTATTAACCCTTGCAATATTTTCCAGTGCTGCCTTAGCTTTTTCGAACTTTTGCTTTGACAGTAGCCACCTGATACTCTCCGACAATATCCAGTAGTAGGATATGATAAGAAAACATGGAATGTGAAGGGCCATTATCATGTAGCGCCAAGGCTGAATCCCCCAGGCGACTCCGCCGAGAATTGCTTGTCCAACCGAAAACATAGCAGAAGCAGTTGCGCTTGCCACCACTCTCCATTTGGGACCCACCAGTTCAGCAGCTATGGCGAGAAGTTATGTTAAAAGAAAACTCGTATATAAAGAAATTGAGCGCTTTAACAAAAATTTTGCCAATAAATGCGTAATTATTTATTTCCAACCTAAACATTTGAAGGCTTAAAATTTAAATAACAGTCAGACTTCATTTAAAGAGAGACTTAAGACTTAATAACATAGACAATAGACAAACATGGAATATGGAATATAGCTAAATGTATCTACTCACCAAAGACATACGCTGAACTGAAGGTACCAGCTCCAAGTGTTGTTTGTAGAATTTGAAGAGCCACGTACATATTGTAGTTTACTGAAAAAGCTCTTATAAGCCCGATTAATGCTAAGTTGAACACACTGCTAATCAAAGCCACTCTCCGCCCGAATTTGTCTGAGATGTAGCCTATAACAGGTAGAACAAGCAGAGTTCCCACACTGCTAAGAGTCCCCGGCAATACTCGCAAGAACTCCTGACAACCGAGGTCAAACTGAAACAAATCAAGGAGATATGTAATTTTCGAAAATGACGTTCAATAAAATCTTAAGGCTATTGTGCTAAAACTACTAACATCGTAGACGATAGAGTTGTCCCGTGCATAGACGTAACTATCACATTCAACAGTGACTGACGAGTCGAAGAGGTCCGCGGGACAGTAATCCAAAGTGACGTTAACATCGATATTTCTTGGCCGGTAACGAACGCAGCTGGAAGCGGACGAACTCTCGGGCATAGCATTCGTTAGCCAATCGGGGTCAAATTGGACTAATCTTGAATCTTCACCACATTCAGGGACACGACATCTGAAAGAACATGTTAATACTAAGTTCATATTCAATTTTGATAGATGTTGCCTCGATTTACTGTTTTAGAAATATTTACAGTGGTGTAAGAATATACGTAGGTACAACGCGTTTTAATTACCACATTAAGTGTATTTTTAAAAGTTGTTATATTATTTAAATGATATGAGAATAGAGGAGGTCATATTATGCCAGCTTAGACATTTTACAGTTGGAGATATCCGAGAGGAAGCAAGCAATCCCATCATAGTTTTATATGAAAACTGTGATATTCCCATCATAGTGCTTTCTAAAGTAAATCATAATCCACGTTACTTGGTGTTTTGTATTTTTACAGATTTAATTTATCTAGACTAAACAGTTTCTAAGTCTCTAATTTAGAGTTTTAAAGCGCTGACTTTGTAGTTTTGTTCTAAAATTTAAATTGCATTACTTACCTATGAGGAATAGCAGCAGCTGAAAAAACATATTCACTCATGAAGGCGGACATAATTATAGGTATCGATACCAACATTAAGTATCGAAGCTGAAAGGGTCCAAATTGACCCAACTCATCACGCAGAACATCATCTAAATCGACTCTCTTTATGTCGTCAGTTTTTACGTCGGTGGCGTGTTCCATTTTTAATTTTTCAACGCTCACGCCCAACTTCTACACTTTCCTATCATTTACTCAATAAATATAATATTCGGTGTATCAGCTGACTATCAGACAAAAGTTTGTCTTAATCTAATTTTACTATATTATCGACGGATTAGAGAAATATAGTTAAAAATGATAAATCATTTTATTACCAGAGTGAAGTAATAGTTAGATTCGTGACTTGTATATAATATTCAATTGCTAATATCTAAGAAGACATAACACAAAAGAACTGAGGCCAAGAAGCTGAGACTCGATAGTTTGCTGTTAGAGACGAAACAGAAATGATTTCATGCTTGTGTTATAAGACATGATTAACTTTCGCAAGAAATATGGTGATAATATATCGATAAAGATCAATTGGTGATTTGCGATGCAAGACTTTATGCAATGGGTTTTATGTGTGTACCTAGAAATCTGATTCCCATATTAATATAACTGCATAGTTGTCATAAATTACTCATAACATATAGTACATATGTATTTAATTTAAACACAAATAAAACTAGAATTTGATATAAAAATAAGAAATATTTATTACTATGCGTGAATTATTTAAAAATGTATAATGATTAGACTTTAACATTTCCTTCGTCATTACTTGTCCCTTCCAATGGCCTCTGCATCAGCAAGAGTATCAGGCATTTTGGTGCCCAATGTTTCGGGCTGAGTGAGAACCAGTAGACCAGATAGTATAGCCATGCCACCGAACAACATTGACGGAATGCCGTGCCAATAGTCCATCTGTGATAAAACAGTAAAATAAAATATAATAAACTACCTCAGTTTGCTCCCACAGTTTTACCTAAAACATTAATCCCTTATTCTGTTTACACTGACAAAAATTCCTCACAGATGATCTGCTATCTATACCTCATATTATAATACTAGTGCAGACTGTATTCTTCAGATTTTTCACCGACTTCTTACAGAGGCTTTTACCGACGAAATCATCAAAAAAGTCCAGAAAATAATTTTGGATAACCGAAAAGTGAAGTTGTTTAAGCTAGCCGATACCCTAAATATATCAAAGGTGTTGGACATTTACTAGATAAATATTTGGTATATGAAAGCTCTTCAAAGTGGGCGGCGCGCAAGCTCACAATCGAGCAAAACCAACAACGAATTAATGATTCTGAGCAGTCTTTGGAGCTGTTCAATCGTAATAAAGATTTGGCTCACAGCGACTTTTTCTGTTATCAGACCTTAATATATTATATACAGATATTTGTTGCTTGTGTTGCGACATTGCGCAATGTATACATCAGGCGCATTTTTTGCATTATAATAATTGTAAGGTGGGGCGACGTGCGCCATCACTTCTCTTTGTACTCGACTAGCGAAAGGTCATATTAAACAAGTTTGTACAAGAAGTCTTAAAGAGTTTCATTTACCGGCCCAGTCATTCCCTAAAGAATGAACATGGTGGCCCATGAGGGGATCAAAGAAGAATAGAAGATTAATCAAGAATATCAATCAAGAAATAATCAATCGAGCAGTAGTACAGCTAAAGTGCCACATCGAGAGATTTAACCAAAAGTTAAGTGTTCCTTGTCCTTTTCTTTTTGTGTTCCAAACTGTGTCCTTAATTCAATTAATTGTGCAAATAAGTATTTTATTGATAATCCTTTTTTAAAGTAGTGAGATTAAGTAATTGGTTAAAAATTTAATTTTTCATAGCACGTAGGTACCTACATCTACGGACGGACCTACATTTAGGAAAAAATTAGTGATTATTTTATTGTTGTTTCATCTTTTGATTTCGTTATGTAACATTTAATTAGATACCAAAGACACGGAGATATACAATATTATTTTTATATTTTATTTATATATGTATATATTTTTTTGTATTTCGTCTTAGACTTCGTAAACACTAATAAGGTATCTAATTGCTCTCTAGCTAATTCCGTGTTTAGGTAGCTACATTCAAGCGCATTTGCCGATTTTTTCAGATTTTTTTTTTTGTCGCGTCGACGCGGCAGTTGCGTTGCACCGGCCGGGAGCCGTGAGTAAGCAACTAAAGCATTGCGTGACAGGTACCACCGAATGAGGAGAGTGAGCCAATTTTGTTTAATTTAAACATTTTAAGTGTTTGTTATTATTTTGATTCTAGTTTATCATGTCTATAGAAACAAAGTTAAGATTAAAAGAATTAATTATAAAAAGGTCGTCTGCTAAGGGACAGATAACAAAATTTAAAAATTATTTAACTGGTATAAATGATAAGCTGGAATTAAATAATATAGAGTTTACCGAGTTAAAATTAAAATTAGCTAAATTTGAAGCTTTGTCGGTTAGGGTTGACGATTTGCAAGGTGAAATAGAAGTTTTAAGTCCTGAAAACATTTCAACCGAAATTGATGAGCGTGATAATATCGAACAGGATATTATAATAAGCATTGCAACCGCCAAAACTTTAGTTGAAAGGTTTTCAAAGGTATTTGAGTGTGAGCATAAGCGAAATTCAATGCACAACGTTTCATGTTGCGTTGATGAATCTAATTCTTGTACTGACCTGGGATTAAAATTGCCACAGATACAAATTAATAAATTTGACGGTGCATATTTCCGTTGGCTAGAATTTAAAGACACATTTGAGAATTTAATTCACAATAATGACCGTATACCACCAATTAATAAATTTCATTACTTAATTTCTTATTTACAAGGTGACGCGGCTAGGGTTATTTCTAACTTCGAGGTGTCTGCTAACAATTATGTCAGCGCATGGGATTTATTGTGTAGCCGCTATAATAATAAACGTATTCTTATTAATCATCACTTAAATTCAATATTTAATATTAAGCAGCTTCCTCGAGAATCAGAGCGTGCTTTGCGATTTTTGGTAGATCAAGTAACAAAGGATTTGCGTGCCTTGGCAAGTTTAGGGCAACCAACGCATACATGGGATACATTAATAGTGTTTATGTTATCTTCAAAATTGGATAACAACACTTTATTGAAATGGGAAGAGGTTCGCAGTAGCTTAGATGGTGATGTACCCAATCTGGATCAATTTTATAAATTTTTAATAGATCGAGCCGATATATTAGAATCTTTAAATCGAAATAACAAGTCAGATATCAATGTTGCTAAACCTTATGTTCAAGTGCGTTCTAACTATAATAATAATTATAACACTAGTAATCAATTTCTAAAACAAGGACAGGGACAAGGAAATCAAATAAAAACATTTTTTAGTTATAAAAATAATAAAAATAAACAATTAAATGCAAAATTTTTATGTATAATTTGTGATAAGAATCATAAAATATATGATTGTCCTACTTTCAAGGACAAAGGTTTAGATGAGCGAATGCAAGACGTAGTAAAATATAAACTATGTCAGATTTGTCTAAGGCAAGGTCATTCCGTAAATGATTGTCGTATGGGACCTTGTCGTGTGGCTGGATGTACGGAAAAGCACAACAGTATGCTGCATTACTCATCCAACCCATCTACATCAAGTTCTCCTTCTAGAGACAGCGATCAAACAAATATTTTTGTGAATTATGCTAACGAAGACACATGTCACGTACTGTTGTCTACTGCTTTTATTGAGGTGTCGGATCCACTTGGTCAGCAAAAGATCAAGGTTCGCGCGCTTCTAGATTGTGGAAGTCAAGCTTCTTTTATAACGAAATCTTTACAGAACAGATTGTCATTAAAGCCTAATCAAGTTGACACTCTAAAGGTCATCGGCATTGGCAACTGTTCAAGTAGTGTTACTGAAACTTGTAATATTCAAATAAATTCATTAAACAGTAATTACAGTTCAATGTTGTCTTGCTACGTTTTAAAAGAATTAACAGGGCAATTACCTAAAGGCCCAATAGAAATAACATTTAAGTTGCCTAGGAACATGCAGTTGGCTGATCCAAGGTTTGACCAACCTGCTCCAGTAGACGTCTTGATAGGTGCAGACTTATTCTGGGATATAATAAGCGATGGGCAATATTCGCTAGGCAACTGTGGTCCAAAGTTAAGAAATTCCCATTTAGGTTGGTTAATATGTGGTCCTATTTATTCAGCAAGGACTAGCAGAGCCATACAGTGCAATCAATGTTTAGTACCATCTCAAAAGAATAAATTGGATAATTTGTTGATAAAGTTTTGGGAGGTAGAGGACTTTCCCTATAACTCAGTATGTAGGAAAAGTTACGATAATAAGGAAAGTGAACAGCATTTTTTAGAAAACACTACTAGAGATAGTGATGGTAGGTTCAATGTAAAATTACCTTTTAAAAGGGCTATAACTTGTTTAGGAAATAGTTATGGTTTAGCTAAAAAACGATTTTTTAATTTAGAAAAAAGATTTAGGCGTGATTCTCAATTAAAGATAGACTATTCCAAATTCATTGATGAATATAAAAAATTAGGGCATCTATCAGTTTTATGTCAGGGTAAGATATTTGATGAAGGTTCACATTATTATTTATGCCATCATGCAGTGATCAGGTCAGATAGTGAGTCTACTAAGTTGCGCGTAGTGTTTGACGGTTCAGCAGCCACTACAACTGGTTATTCGTTAAATGATCTATTAAAGGTAGGACCGAGCATACAAGATAGTCTTTTTTCTATTTTAGTTCGAGCGAGGCAACATAAATACTTACTTACGGCTGATATAGAAAAAATGTATAGGCAAGTAAATGTTAAAGAAGGTGACAAAAATTTTCAGCTGATACTTTGGAGGCCTAATGAATATCAGCCTATACAAACATTAGCTTTAAATACCCTGACATATGGAACAGCATGTGCAAGCTACCTTAGTACACGATGCTTATGGCAAATAGGCCAAGAGCAAGACGATGAACTCATAAAGGTCATCATCCAAAGAGATTTTCTTGTAGATGATTTGTTGACTGGAGCTGATGATCCAGAAACATTGATTTATATACAAAAGGCTGTTTCATGTGCTTTAAAGTCAGGATGTTTTAATTTACGAAAATATAAAACTAATTTTCCGTCAATTTTTACAAAGTTTGAAATAAACAAACAAGATAATTTAATATTGAGTGAATCCTCCAGTACTTTGGGTTTAGGTTGGACTCCTTCTACTGACACTTTTCATATACCAGTAAAAGAAAGTATATATATAACTCGACAACCAATCACAAAACGATTTATTATGTCAAATGCTTTTAAAATATTTGACCCGTTAGGAGTATTAAGTCCAGTTATTATTATTCCTAAGATAATGTTGCAACGTCTATGGCAACAAAAGATTGGCTGGGATGAGCCTGTTAGTCAGAAGATAAAGGCTGAATGGATAAATTTTGTAGATAATTTAAAGTATTTAAAACAATTGAATATTCCGAGATTAGTATTGGGGAATTTACCTCTGTTCATAGAATTACATTCTTTTAGTGACGCATCGCAAATTGCTTATGGTGCAAGTATTTATGTGAGAACAATTAGCAGCAACAATCTCGTCACTGTTAGATTATTATGCAGTAAATCAAAGGTAGCTCCTCTAAAGCCTACTACTATCCCAAGGCTAGAATTATGTGCGGCGCAACTTGCCGGAAAACTTACAAAATCGGTGTTAGAGTCAATTAGGTTTACACCTACGCGGATAGTACATTGGTGCGATTCCAGTGTTGTATTATGCTGGATAAAAGGGGATATAGGTAGATTGAAAACCTTTGTAGCCAACCGCATTAGTGAAATAAAAGAAATAACTTCTTCTTCAGCATGGCGATACGTGCCATCGGAATTTAATCCTGCTGATCTTATATCTAGGGGAATTCAAGCTAAGAATATTTTGAATATGAACTTGTGGTGGTTAGGCCCTAGTTTTTTGCATGAAGACGAGGCTAAATGGCCTGTTTTAAAATCTTTTGATTTAAATAGTTTACCTGAAATTAGGGTTAATTCGGCTGTAATAAATGAATCATTTATTGATTTTAATAGGTATTTTATCGGGTAGTTAATAGATGCGTTATTTGCAGGCGTATGCGTGGGCAAACTCTTCAACCTAAAATGGGAAATCTTCCAGAACAGCGGATTGCCCCAGATTACCCTTTTTTAGCTGTAGGAGTTGACTACGCAGGTCCATTTCTTATCTTGAATCGCAAAGGACGAGGAAGCCGCTTAATTAAATGCTATTTGTGTATATTTGTTTGCTTGCGTTTCAAATGTATACATTTAGAAGCTGTTAGTGACTTAACTAAAGAAGCATATATAATGGCACTTCGCCGTTTCATTGCTCGTCGAGGACGACCAACGGAAATATTTTCTGATAACGGTACCAATTTTGTAGCTGCAGCGCGAGAATTAGGTTCATTTATCAAACAAAATAAAGATTCTCTATTTGACTTTGCAAGTCAACAATCAATTAAATTTAATTTCATTCCGGCATATACTCCTCATTTCGGTGGTATTTGGGAAAGTGGGGTAAAATCTGCTAAGCACCATATACGGCGTGTTATGGGAAACTGTCATCTTACTTTTGAGGAAATATCAACTTTATTTGCACAAGTAGAAGCAATCCTAAACAGCCGTCCCTTGTGTCCCTTGTCATCTTCTCCCGATGACCTTCTTACCCTTTCCCCTGGACACTTTCTTATTGGACGACCATTAACTTCACTGCCTTCTAAAGGTCTTGGTGAATTCAAATTTAGTCACTTACAAAGGTACCAGAGAATTGAGCAATTAAGACAGCACTTTTGGAGACGATGGCAAAAGGAGTACGTGGTGGAATTGCAACAGCGCACTAAATGGAGAGAGAACTCTGCCAATCTTAATATTGGGGACCTAGTGCTGATAGCCGAGGACAATACTGCCCCTCTCTGCTGGAAGTTGGGTCGAGTGCAGCGGCTGATAAATGGCTTAGATGGAGTGGCCAGAGTGGCAGAGATTAAAACCAGCAGCGGCTGCATTACACGTTCGTTGGTCCGGCTGTGCAAGTTGCCGGTACAAGAAGATTAGATGAATGTTGAAAGAGTTTCAACGGCCGGGAGTATGTTGCGACATTGCGCAATGTATACATCAGGCGCATTTTTTGCATTATAATAATTGTAAGGTGGGGCGACGTGCGCCATCACTTCTCTTTGTACTCGACTAGCGAAAGGTCATATTAAACAAGTTTGTACAAGAAGTCTTAAAGAGTTTCATTTACCGGCCCAGTCATTCCCTAAAGAATGAACAGCTTGTTTTTAGCACTAAATATAACGAATATAGTTTTTGCAGAATTGATAGTTAATAAGTTGTTTTGGAACCATTCGCGGAGAGAGTTATGTAACCTAAAAGCTTTATTTATTAATTAACGTTTTACGCGAGCATTTATTTAGTGATAATTACATAATTTCGCTTGGGAGTTGTAAAAATGAATACAATTTCCATATAATGAGTGGTTTATCTTCTGGAGCCTGGTTGGTCGTACGCGCAAATTATTTCTGTTTCGAGTATTATACTGGTGAAAGTCACCATTATTAGTAGGGATGTTCAAATATAATATATTATATTTGAATATCTACAAGAACCTACAAGAGCCGCCACAGAAATATACTACTTTATTGTTTGTTAACTTGACGTTATTGATTGCTAAGCTATTGATTGTTTTCCACATCATATTAATATGTGTGTATGGTAATATGACTGCTTTGTAATTTGAATTAGTTTGTCCACTTTGATTCTTTTTTCAAAAAACTCACGCTGCAATGTGATGTCAAAACTATTTTTCTTAACCGCACTCAATATGACATTTAGTGAAGTTTAATTAGATTAGAATAGATTAGTAATTAGATATATTATTTCTTTGTTTATCCAGTCTTTCTGTGATTATATAAGAATCTAAGTTTTTAACATTTTTCTCGTGTGACTTTCATAATAGTTTTTTCTTGTTTATATCGTGTTTTTATATCTTCGCTTTCATGAACTCATACAGTTTCAAGTAATTGATAGCTTTGTAGTGTGAGTATAGCCGAGGTGCTGGTTTTATATTTTTAATAATTTCTAAATATAATATAATGAGCCTATGGTCCGATAAAGGGAAAATTAATTTAGGTCATGTGGAATGCGTAATTTTTTGCAAATTGGTTGTAACTTTGGACTACGTTACAACCAATTGACTGCCTAAAAGGCCTCTAAAAAACTTTAAAAAATGTATGTTAACTGGTTTGTAGACAACTCTTAATTCTAGACTATATTTCTCAAGCCTGATAGATGATAGTAATATTACTAACGATAGAGGCATCCAATCTAGTAATCTGTTGCTGGCATTTTCGGCTACAATGCTTGTGGTTGATATTTTGATATCTCTATCTATTTTGGGGATCGGTGAGCTCTCAAGTTAAGCAGTCCCTGCTTAACATATATTTAATATGCTGCGCTGATATTTTAACTATGTTTCGAAATATTCATCGAGCCCAAGTTGATAGCAAATCCCTCCACTTATTGGTAACCACATTAAGCGAATCTAAGAATTTAAGTACTTTGATTTATTTCATAAGTCACACTGTTCTTGGGGGTATGTTTACCGGGTCAATGTTAACAATGATTAAAAGCAACGCGACAAATTACTAGATCATCGTATCAATCAGTCTACCTATATAATCGTCTTTCTAAAATAACTTTAATAATTGTTATTAAAGTAATTATTAAAGGCTACCTTATTGTGCTGCATGCAGAACTGCTTTTCTGTCATTTGCTATAAAAATACTTACAAGTACTGGTGTGAGTGGTGCTGTGATTGACCCAATTCTGCCAATCATCGAGGAGAAGGCCAGTAACGTGTGTCGAAATTCTGTGGGGTACAGCTCTGATGTGTAGAGGTACAGAGACGTGAACACCAGCGAGATACCGAATTTACCCGCGAGGTACACAACCAGACGGACCACGCTTAGATCTAGAAAAGATGTCATAGTTTCAAACTTTTCATTAATGCGCGCCTATTTATTTTTTATTTATTTATCACTACTTTTAAACGCGTTTTGACGGACTAATTTACAACAAACAAACTTTGTGATCTTGGAATGTTATCTTAATCATTTGTTATCTTCATCAATATCAAAATATATTTCATTAATAAATATGCCCGATATTGAGATTCTTACAGGAATAAGACAAAACATACATGGCCAAATAATTAAATATTTATTAAACTACTGACCGTATTTACTCAAAATTGCAGAATAAATCTTACCTGAGGGAATAAACACAAAAGCTATATTACAAGCGGCGCTGAAGAAGAACCCAGCGGACAGGGTGGGTTTCCGTCCAATCCTGTCCAAAATGAAAACAGCCGTGTAGAATCCAGGAATCTCGATGGCAACGGTCAATATGTAGTTCAGATAGATCGTGTCAGAGAGACTGGTGGAGTTGATAGAGAGACCGTAGTAGACGAAGGTTGTGGTGATCCACCAAACGGGGGTGGTGCACACTCGGCGTAATAAAATCTTAGATTTTAATATTTTGTTGAAGAGGTTATCTTCATTTTCCTGTAACATTCATAAAATTTAATCGCTTTTAGAAATGCGATAAAAATAATCCTACCTACGTGTGTAAAGATTAGTTATTGCAAGGCTTTTTGACTAGTTAGTCAACAGTTTTAGCACAATAGCCTTAAGATTTTATTGAACGTCATTTTCGATAATTACATATCTCCTTGATTTTTTTTCGGTTGTCGGAGTTCTTGCGAGTATTGCCCGGGGGTGGGGGGGTTTTGGGGAGTATTGGCGGGGACTCTTAGCAGTGTGGGAACTCTGCTTGTTCTACCTGGTATAGGCTACATCTCAGACAAATTCGGGTCGGTAGCAGTTGCTAACGGCCCACTAAACAAAGGACACGTACCTTGGTTGACTCTGCAGTCACAACAGGCGGCAGCAAAAGTCCCCGCATGGACTTCTCGCTGATATGTGTCTTATTAACCCTTGCAATATTTTCCAGTGCTGCCTTAGCTTTTTCGAACTTTTGCTTTGACAGTAGCCACCTGATACTCTCCGACAATATCCAGTAGTAGGATATGATAAGAAAACATGGAATGTGAAGGGCCATTATCATGTAGCGCCAAGGCTGAATCCCCCAGGCGACTCCGCCGAGAATTGCTTGTCCAACCGAAAACATAGCAGAAGCAGTTGCGCTTGCCACCACTCTCCATTTGGGACCCACCAGTTCAGCAGCTATGGCGAGAAGTTATGTTAAAAGAAAACTCGTATATAAAGAAATTGAGCGCTTTAACAAAAATTTTGCCAATAAATGCGTAATTATTTATTTCCAACCTAAACATTTGAAGGCTTAAAATAAAATTTAAATAACAGTCAGACTTCATTTAAAGAGAGACTTAAGACTTAATAACATAGACAATAGACAAACATGGAATATGGAATATAGCTAAATGTTCTACTCACCGAAAACATACGCTGAACTGAAGGTACCAGCTCCAAGTGTAGTTTGTAGAATTTGAAGAGCCACGTACATAATGTAGTTTACTGAAAAAGCTCTTATAAGCCCGATTAATGCTAAGTTGAACACACTGCTAATCAAAGCCACTCTCCGCCCGAATTTGTCTGAGATGTAGCCTATAACAGGTAGAACAAGCAGAGTTCCCACACTGCTAAGAGTCCCCGGCAATACTCGCAAGAACTCCTGACAACCGAGGTCAAACTGAAACAAATCAAGGAGATATGTAATTTTCGAAAATGACGTTCAATAAAATCTTAAGGCTATTGTGCTAAAACTACTAACATCGTAGACGATAGAGTTGTCCCGTGCATAGACGTAACTATCACATTCAACAGTGACTGACGAGTCGAAGAGGTCCGCGGGACAGTAATCCAAAGTGACGTTAACATCGATATTTCTTGGCCGGTAACGAACGCAGCTGGAAGCGGACGAACTCTCGGGCATAGCATTCGTTAGCCAATCGGGGTCAAATTGGACTAATCTTGAATCTTCACCACATTCAGGGACACGACATCTGAAAGAACATGTTAATACTAAGTTCATATTCAATTTTGATAGATGTTGCCTCGATTTACTGTTTTAGAAATATTTACAGTGGTGTAAGAATATACGTAGGTACAACGCGTTTTAATTACCACATTAAGTGTATTTTTAAAAGTTGTTATATTATTTAAATGATATGAGAATAGAGGAGGTCATATTATGCCAGCTTAGACATTTTACAGTTGGAGATATCCGAGAGGAAGCAAGCAATCCCATCATAGTTTTATATGAAAACTGTGATATTCCCATCATAGTGCTTTCTAAAGTAAATCATAATCCACGTTACTTGGTGTTTTGTATTTTTACTGATTTAATTTATCTAGACTAAACAGTTTCTAAGTCTCTAATTTAGAGTTTTAAAGCGCTGACTTTGTAGTTTTGTTCTAAAATTTAAATTGCATTACTTACCTATGAGGAATAGCAGCAGCTGAAAAAACATATTCACTCATGAAGGCGGACATAATTATAGGTATCGATACCAACATTAAGTATCGAAGCTGAAAGGGTCCAAATTGACCCAACTCATCACGCAGAACATCATCTAAATCGACTCTCTTTATGTCGTCAGTTTTTACTTCGGTGGCGTGTTCCATTTTTAATTTTTCAACGCTCACGCCCAACTTCTACACTTTCCTATCATTTACTCAATAAATATAATATTCGGTGTATCAGCTGACTATCAGACAAAAGTTTGTCTTAATCTAATTTTACTATATTATCGACGGATTAGAGAAATATAGTTAAAAATGATAAATCATTTTATTACCAGAGTGAAGTAATAGTTAGATTCGTGACTTGTATATAATATTCAATTGCTAATATCTAAGAAGACATAACACAAAAGAACTGAGGCCAAGAAGCTGAGACTCGATAGTTTGCTGTTAGAGACGAAACAGAAATGATTTCATGCTTGTGTTATAAGACATGATTAACTTTCGCAAGAAATATGGTGATAATATATCGATAAAGATCAATTGGTGATTTGCGATGCAAGACTTTATGCAATGGGTTTTATGTGTGTACCTAGAAATCTGATTCCCATATTAATATAACTGCATAGTTGTCATAAATTACTCATAACATATAGTACATATGTATTTAATTTAAACACAAATAAAACTAGAATTTGATATAAAATAAAGAAATATTTATTACTATGCATAAATTATTTAAAAAATTATAATGATAAGACTTTAACATTTCTTTCATCATTTCTTGTCCCTTCCAATGGCTTCTGCATCAGCAAGAGTATCAGGCATTTTTGTGCCCAATGTTTCGGGCTGAGTGAAAATCAGTAGACCAGATAGTATAGCCATGCCACCGAACATCATTGACGGAATGCCGTGCCAATAGTCCATCTGTGATGAAAAAGTTAAATAAAATATTTAATGCGTAACGTTAAATAAAGTATGACGAGTGGCTCCTTTTTATCACAAAAATAATCTTTTTATTCATAAAAAACTACCTCAGTTTGCTCCCACAGTTTTACCTGAAACGTTAATACCTTATTCTGTTTACACTGACAAAAATTCCTCACAGATGATCAGCTATCTATACCTCATATAATACTAGTGCAGCCTTGCGATTCTGTAACTCACTTTTCGAACTCACACAGCGGTTTTCACAGCGGCGGTCTACATAAATAAATGATTTTTGACTTTGACTTCTTGTGAATGTAATTTGCGCACATTTTTTGGTATTTAAAACAATTTTGTTATTATCGAACCACCTGTTATCCCCACGACATTACTTTGCAATAATTCCACATCTCGAGCGCTATTAATTACTTTAAAAATAATAAACTACACCTTAAGTGACCGGTTTTGCGCTTCATTAAACATTTATTTAATGTGCTGCGCTGATATTTTCACTATGTTTTGAAATATTCACCGACCCCAAGTTTATAGCAAATCTCACCACATAGCGGAGACCGGGCAAGAAGCATAGTACGCGGGTAAGAAGAATAACTGTTTTTTTTATAAATCAATAATAGATCGATTTGACAAATTTTCTACTCATTTCACGTTCGATGCCAAAACATTACGCGAGTGCATTTGTTGTGAAAAGAAAATTACGTATCGTTAGGGTGTATCGAAATTGATACTTTTTGTCAATGCTCATAATTAATATAGAAATCATTAAAGTTTTTAAGTTTATATCATTAATTGGCAAAGATGATTAAACATAGTACAAATTAAAATTACAAAGAGTACTATTGATTATTATCGGATTGTGGTTTTATTCACATTATCCCTCAACATAAGCGTCTTGCCCGGGCTTTATTGGTAACCACAATGAATTTCAAGATCAAGCGAATCTAAGAATTTAAGTACTATGATTTCTTTAAAAAGTCACACTGTTCTCGAGGGCATGTATTCCGGGTCGATGTTAACAATGATTAAAAGCGACGCGACAAATTACTAGATCATCGTTTCAATCACAGTCTACACTTTTACATAAATGCTAATTCGTTAAGGTACACGCTATCATGCTCGCTTAAATGTCATTGCTTGTGGCGGCGTTAATGCGTCGGGTTGTCTCTCTCCTTAAAATATGGCGAGGGGGCCGATGGCTGGCCATGCGTCATACTCGTAAACGGGTGCTACTTGTGGTGACTGGTCATACTTGAATTCGTGTATGCGGTGATGTTAGTTGTTTCGACTATGTGTTTGCGTGTTCTTCCCACGAGAATGTAAGTGCGTGCTCCTATTTCACCATGCCTCCTGCTGATAGAGGACAAGTCTTTGTTTTTAGATAATGTTATTATTATAAATTACTTAATATGTCATGTGGAGCGTGGTGTAATGGTTGCAGCTCCTTACAAAGGTTGTGAGAAAAAAAAATGGCGATTAAAAATAGTGGCGGAGAGTTTATTGCCAGTTCTTCTCTTCCGTTCTACGCCCTTGATTTTAGAACTGGCAGTAAATGTAAAATTAGAAGCATTAATATGTATTTCTTTATTGACGAGTCATAAGTGTACATTATGTTACCTATATGATTAAATGATTTTTTTACATTACTTTACTTTGCTATCACTATGTTATGTCCCTAGTTATGATATATGCACTGTGCGCGTAAAAACCTACTAGATTTCACAGATAAATAGCAAAAACGTATATTATATTATTATAAATTCGTAATATTTACAATCTACATGTTTGTTCTTGAATAAGCAAATTTCAAACAAAATGTTTGATATTGATTATCCGAACCCATTTTATAATTAAGCTTAACCAATTATTCGCATCGAATTATTAAGAAGTACACATATATATATGTATGTGTTGTAACAAACATATGAGCTTACATTACTACAAAAATACTTACAAGTACAGGTGTGAGCGGTGCTGTGATTGACCCAATTCTGCCAATCATGGAGGAGAAAGCCAGTAACGTGTGTCGAAATTCTGTGGGGTACAGCTCTGATGTGTAGAGGTACAGAGACGTGAACACCAGCGAGATACCGAATTTACCCGCGAGGTATACCACCAGACGGACCACGCTTAGATCTAGAAAAGATGTCATAGTTTCAAATCTAGAAGATAAGGTAGTCTAGTATATCTCTATTTTATTTAGTCATAGGTAGTAAACGTAGTACTAACTGAAATACCGTTTGCAATTTAGGTAAAATTGACTATTAACAATAACTTTATGCAATATTTATATAATAACAGCCCTGCGATTCTGTAACTCACTTTTCGAACTCACACAAGGGTTTTCTTTCATTCTGAAATGGTGGAAGCTTGTAGTTTATTGTTTATCAGAATGCCAAATCATAAAATGACTGCTTTACGACTGATTTGAGAGCAAGCGCCGATGCGAAAACCGCTGTGTGAGTTCGAAAAGTGAGTTACAGAATCGCAGGGCTGGTATCAACTTAAATTTACTCAATCTAAAGTCAATATTTTATAAAGCTATAGAGATAAAAGACTCAATTATTCATTAATACACGACTATTTATTTTTTATCTTTTTATCACTTCTTTAAATCGCATTTTGATGGAATAAATTAATTACAACCAATTATTGTAACCTTCGAATGATATTTCAATAATTCGATAAAACCTCATATTCATAAAAATATACATTTAAATAAATATGCTCGATTAAGATTCTAATCGAAAAATTGCACACATTGCAGAATAAATCTTACCTGAGGGAATAAACACAAAAGCTATATTACAAGCGGCGCTGAAGAAGAACCCAGCGGACAGGGTGGGTTTCCGTCCAATCCTGTCCAAAATGAAAACCGCCGTGTAGAATCCTGGAATCTCGATGGCAACGGTCAATATGTAGTTCAGATAGATTGTGTCAGAGAGACTGGTGGAGTTGATAGAGAGACCGTAGTAGACGAAGGTTGTGGTGATCCACCAAATGGGGGTGGTGCAGACTCGGCGTAATAAGATTTTCGACTTAAATATTGTTTTTAGAAGGCCATCCTTGTTTTGCTGGAAATATAAAGAGAATAAGTAAACATGCAATATAATAAGAATAAGTATAGCAATCAATCCTTTCTATAAATGTAAATGTAAAAAGGAAAGGTTCAGGAATTAGTTTAGGTAATTCTATTAGGATATGAAAAGATTTTATCCAGTTGATACCCTAGGCCGTTGCAAGTAGAGAGAGGGAAAATCTTTAACAGTCATGTTTTTTTAAAGAAAACACACTAACATCTCACACTATCAAAAATGTTGTTAGGACGTGATATTATAAAATTGATAAATTTCTATATTATCTTGCAATAATCAATCAATTAGGTCATTGGCAATATGATATAAAAATCACATATCGACAATAAACTCTTTACTAGTATAGAATTATTAAAAATAATAGGTAAATTTTATCAAGACTTTTATATAAATTGGTTTCAAGATTCATATGATTTATTATGTGACGTGTGATAAAATAATATATTTAATTAAGGTTTTATATATTTTAAATTAAAGTTAATATAACCATTGAAAAATCAGATATAATTTAAATACGCCACGCCATCTTTACGATTTCAATGAGTTTCTTAGAAATTCGCTGAAATTTAACGCATGAATAATTAGATATAATGCAGTACCTTCGCTGATTCCGCAGTGACAGCGGGCGGCATCAACAATCCTTGCATGGACTTTTCACTGATCTGTGTTTTGTTCACTCTCGCAATATTTTCCAATACCGTTCTAGCTTCTTCGAACCTTTGCTTAGATAGAAGCCATCTGATGCTCTCAGACAAAATCCAGTAATAGGAGATAATGAGGAAGCAGGGAATATGGAGGGCCATAATCATGTAGCGCCAAGGCTGAATAAGCCAAGCTACTCCACCTAAAATCACTTGTCCAGTTGCGAACATAGACGTTGCTGTTGCACTCGCTACCACTCTCCATTTGGGCCCAACCAGCTCAGCGGCTGTAACAAGGAATGTTTTATTTTATTTATGGTCTCTGTCAAATTAGTTAATATTACCTGTAGTAATATTAATAAATTATATAATTTACTACAAATGAATACATATCAAACTGCTCACCAAAGACATACGCTGAACTGAAGGTACCAGCTCCAAGTGTAGTTTGTAGAATTTGAAGGGCCAAGTACATATTGTAGTTTACTGAAAAAGCTCGTATTAGACCGATTAATGCCAAATTAAATACACTTATGATCAACGCTACTCTCCGCCCAAACCTATCGGACACATATCCAGTTATCGGTAACACAAGTAAAGTTCCTACACTATTAAGCGTCCCCGCTAATACTCGCAGGAACTCCTGACAACCGAGGTCAAACTGAAAAAAACATTGCCTTTAAAGTAAAAATTTATAAAAACCAAATGACAAATTAGAAAATGAAAAATTATATTTATTTTAAAAAAATAGTTATTTTATATTAAAGGAAAAGAAAAACTACTTACATCATAGACAACTGAGTTGTCCCGTGCATAGACAAAACTATCACATCCAACAAGGACTGACGAGTCGAAGAGGTCTGCGGGACAGTAATCTAAAGAGATGTTAACACTAATATCTCTTGGCCGGTAACGATCGCAGGTGGAGGCTGATGTCCTCTCGGGCATGGCATTCGTTAGCCAATCGGGGTCAAACCGGACTAATTTCGAATCTTCACCACATTCTGGGACACGACATCTTGAACACAAATTTAGTAATAATATTAATTGATTACCAAAAACATTCACTTTTTTAAAGTTTTTGAAGTTCTAAGTTACCTGTGAGGGATTGCTGCGGCTGAGAAAATATATTCACTCATAAAGGCGGACATAATAAGCGGAATCGATACAAGGACCATGTAACGAAGCTGAAAGGGTCCAAATTGACCCAACTCATTTACTAAAACATCATCTAAATCTATTCTCTTTATTTCACCAGTTTTTATTTCGTCCTCCATTTTTTAAATTTTATACCGACACCGCCCGATCTCTGACTCTTACCGTCCCACAATGAGTACGGTAGTGCTTCGGTTGTATCAGCGAGCGCAAAATGATTGCGATTAATTTAAATTAATACTAAATATACGATGAATAAATATTGATTAAATCAAGATAACTAGATTAGTAAATTTATTTTTTGTAAATAATAATTTCCTGCTGATTGTAACCTTTGTGTCATTGTTTTAGAATGATTAAAAAGCCAGAATTCATAAATAAAATTCACTACTATTACAATATTACTAACATTAATTTATTATATTTAACAATATGTAACTGCAATAACTAATAATTATAGAATGAAGAAAGTAAAATGTACTATCCAATAATTTATGTGTATATAAACATTTAGTATTCCTTGAACTGGGTAACTATCCTTCAAATCGCTTCAGCCTCCTCTAAAGTGTCAGGCAGTTTCTTTGAAAGTGTTTCTGGCTGTGTTAGGACTAAAAGACCAGATAACGCTCCAAATATAGCAAATATTGTGTGTGGCAGACCATGCCAATAGGCAGTCTGAAAAAAAAAAATTAAATAAGACGTATAATAGGTTCTATATGCATTTGTTTTATTCTCTTTAATTTTAATTCACCGTTACGGTACAGGCTGTCCTCGTACTTACGCCATGTTAGGTTCTCGAAATACGCGACGTTAATCGAAACGACGTAAGTCGAGACATATTTTTCGTATTTTTACATGTAAAACTCAAGGGTTAGGTTCCACACGGAACTCAAAATTCGAAATTAAAAAAACTGCATTTATTACAAAGTAAGTTCTTAACATAATTATTTACTTTTTGCACTTATGAAATTGCTAGTTATTTTTGGTAATTGTTTGTTATTAATTTTAATAACAATTATAAAACTTTAATATGTAATCAAAATATGTAGTGAGAAATAATAATATAACTTTTGGCTTAAAGAAACTATCAATTCTAGATTGCTTCGCTTCTTTCTTCTTGCATTTTATCATACAGATCTTGGTAACACTGATAGGCTGCACAAATTTTGTTATTAACGTTGAAACTTCTCTCAAAATTAGAATCATTTTCTTCAAAAATTTTCATAGCATTCCCCAAATTTGCATAAGACAAGTGAATTCTCCTATGCCGGAAATCGAAACAAATGACGTATGCTTGAGGAATAGTGTCAAAACATTGATCGACGTAACTTGAAACGACGTAATCGAAACACGTAAGTCGAGGACTGCCTTTATTATGATTTAGACTCACGAGTAGTGGAGTAAGCGGGGCACAAACAGGTCCAATTCTGCCAACCATTGATGAAAACCCCAATAAACTGTGTCTAAACTCCGTAGGGTAGAGCTCTGACGTGTACAGGTAAAGTGAAGCGAGTACTAGCGATATACTAAATTTTCCCCCTAAGTATATAACGAGTCGAAGAATAGATAGATCTGAAACACACAAAAACCTGGAATAATAAATATTAATAAATATATAGTAGAGTTTTATAATATACTTACCTAATGGTATAAAAATAAAAGCTAAATTGCATGCTGCACTGATAAAGAAGCCACAACACAGAGTTTTCCTTCTACCAAATCTATCCAAGGTTAACACTGCACTATAGAATCCCGGTATCTCGACAGCAACGGCAAGGATATAATTTAGATATATTGTGCTGGACAGACTCGTGGAGTTAATCGATAATCCGTAGTATATGAATGTTGTGGTCATCCACCATATTGGGGTCGTGCACACTCTTCTGAATAGGACGCGGGAACGAAAGATAAATGCTATGAGGCTTCGTTGTTCGCTCTAAAATAAAATACAGCTAATGATCAGGAAATGTATTAAGATTTCTCAGCAAAGTTTGGCTAACTCAAGCTCTGGTGGCTTTAATAATAACACATTATTCAAATTTACTTACGTTTTTGATAATTGTGGGAGGATTCAATAAAGCATCCATGGACGTTGCACTTATTACAGCGTTATTTGTCTTTGCTACATTTTCTAGCACATTTCTAGCTTCATCATACTTCTGCTTAGCTAATAACCACCGCACGCTTTCGAAAAGAATCCAGTGATATGACAATAGGAGAAAAACGGGAATGTAAAGAGTGAGGATGAGAGTCCTCCATGGGCGTACAAGCCAGGCAATTGCTCCCAGTAGTACTTCACCAAGGGCAAACGCTGATGCCAACGTGGCAGAGGTAACTACGCGGTACTTGGGACCCACTAGCTCGGCACCTGATTAACATAATGAAATAAAAACCTGTGGCGAGACAACCTGTGATATGTTTTTTTTTTAATCTGATCAGTCATCTGTGCCTGACATACGCCGTTGACTTGTTTGGGTCCACGTCCGGTTTCCTCACAATGTTTTACCTCACCGTACAAGCGGGTGTTAAAGTGTTGGATGTGCACATAAACAGATTCCATTGCTGCACAGCTGGTGACCTCCAGAATGAGAGTCACACGCTGAAACCACTAGGCTACTCGCTAGGAACGCTTTTACTGTTACGTTACTGTTGTTGTCTCCAACAAAATTAAAGTAATAATTTAAATAATTAATTCGTATTTAAATATTTTTTCTAACTTTATTTCGATTTATCGAAATTATCTTAAATAATTTTTATTAAACTCTAAAATAGATCTTATACCTTTACATTTTTACTTTAAAACGGTTTAGAATGTGTTGTGAATACTAAAAACTGACTCTCACATTTATGTGTGAAAATATTTTAAATGTTAATTTATTTATTAAATGTTACTTTATATTAAATAAATTAAATAATAATTACCGAATATAAATGCGGAACTCGCTAAACCAGCACCTAGTGTAGTCTCCAGAAGTTGTAGGATTAGGAACATTGTATAATTTACCGAGAAGGCTTTGGAGATGCCAAAAAGAGCAGTGTTGAAGACGCTGAAGAGTAAAGCCATACGACGGCCGAAATGATCAGAAATGAAGCCAACCAATGGTAGGACCAGGAGTGTTCCAAGACTGCTAAGCGTTCCTGAGAGCGATCTCAGCCATTCTTCACATCCCAAATCAAACTATAAAGAAACAGTTGTATATCATCAAATGCATCAAATATAAGAATATTAAATGAAAAATCAAAATGAAAGTGCCCCAGATAATCTTCGAGAGATCATCAGATCATACATGGGCTTCCAAATGTAAGGTTTAAAAACAAAATAAATACACAGTAGCGTGTAAGATTTCTACGCCGAAAAAAGGAACAGCAAGATAACAAACTATTTTTGAAGCGCGGGTTAAAAAATCTTAAAATTACCAACATCGTACACCACAGAATTATCTCCTCCATACACAAACCCGTCACATTTTTTAGTACGTGAATGATCGAACAGGTCTATAGGGCAATCTAGCACGGAACTGTTATATCCAGGATAGACAGACACATATCTCTCGCAACTTGCAAGCTCAGATTCCTCTTCTATGACTGGTATCGCGTTTGCTATCCATTCTGGGTGGAACACCGCACTCTTGTTTCTCTCGCCGCATTCAGGGATACGACATCTGTTGATTGTATGCATATAGTTTATCATACAACTTCATTTCTTATGTATATCCAAGTGAAAGACAAAATAATTTTATTTCATGATAATTTTAGCTCTCGTTTTTCAGCTAAATAACATTGCAATTAATTAGGTTATATGAAACTCTTCATAATTGAAATGTGTTTTTTATTTCATCAATGGTTTAAACAACATTAATTTACATAAATAGTACCAGAAAAGAATTTTGTATTAAAATTAAATTCTGTTACGAATTACAAAATTCTAAAAATCTTAATAATTCTTAATTTAACATATATTAAATAATAAATGTGTCTCTTGCGCACCCCAATGGAATATTTTACCTACTACGTATATATTTTACATAAATATAAAGGGAAATGTCACTGGAATAGGCCGAAATAACATAATAACCTTCTGCATAAGGATTCCCATATAGCACGAGGGCGGAAACATAATAACCTTACCTAACATCTTTCAAAAGTCATTATTTTCTTCTCAAGAAAGATAAAAACAAGAAAAATACTAATGTACCTCTGTGGAAGTGCAGCTGCTGTGAAGACATAGTCACTGAAGAAGGCAGCTGTCATCAGCGGCAATGCGATGAGGCAGATATATTTTAGCTGGAATCGCCCAAACTGGCCCAACTCGTTCACCAAAACATAGTCTAAATCAATATTTTTTTCTATAGTATCAGAACTCTCACTTGTGTTAATTGCCATGTTTTAGGGACGTCTAAACCTAATTGTGAGAAAAGAAATTGTACCAATTATACTACCAGATCCTAATTTTAATAAAATTAAATAATTGTTAAGATATTAAGAAGTTTACTAGCGAGAGGCTTAAATGTATTTAGATTTGTGATAGTGAATATAATATGCGACGATGTCTTGGGTATCTCGTTACAAGGTGATATTTCAATTAGTGTGCAAAAAAAATGTATGAAATATGAAATTCATTCTTCTTATTAGTTGTGACTATATATATGAAAGATATGAGCAAACGAAATGTTTGTGGGCATATGGTGGTTAATAATTATATTTTTTTTACACTACATTCTGTATAGTTTAAAATAATATCACATTATCATATAACCGTGAAGTTAATGCTGGTAGATATTTAGTCGGGATATGATTATTATCTAAATAGCCCGACGTAAAATTTAAGATAAGTAGTTTTAGCGGTGTATATATTTACTAATATTAAATAAATTACGTTTTATAGAAAAAGAAAACCTTTCTGCCTTAACATGTAATTCAACTTCTACGCTTGATCTTATACATTTATAATCGTGCTCTGAATTTTATTTTCCAATGGTTTCGGCTTCCTCCAAGGTATCCGGCAATTTCCTTCCAAAAGTTTCGGGCTGCGTGAGGACCAAGAGGCCTGACATCAACCCCAACACTGTGTTTGGCAAACCAAGCCAATAATCAGTCTGAAAGCATTGCCGTTGTATTATTGTTAACACATTTTACATTATATTATGTATACACATTGTAATAACTTACAAGAAGTGGTGTAAGAGGTGCGCATATAGAACCAATCCGACCGACCATAGATGAGAAGCCCAATAGACTGTGTCTAAACTCTGTGGGGTAGAGCTCTGACGTATACAGGTACAGAGACGTGAACACCAGTGAAATACCGAATTTACCAGCGAGGTACACTACCAGCCGGAGCACTGTAAGCTCTAAAACAAAGAAACAATATAAAATTACGCGAATTTAGGCTAAATTGTAAACTTTATTAAAAAGAAACTTACCTGGTGGTATAAACGGCCAAGTTAAGGTCAAAAAAAGAACCTAAAAGAGTCATCTTTCTCAATCTATCAATGCAAGCCTGCCGTGAAAAAAGGCCGGGATTTCTATTGCAACTGTCAGGATGTAGTTGAGGTATATTGTCTTTGATAGATTCGTGGAATTAATAGACAGGCCGTAGTAGACGAATGTTGTGCATATCCACCAGATCGGCGTAGTACACACGCGTCTCAGAAGAATTTTCGATTTAAAGATTGATTGTATTAGATTCCGACGATCAGTCTGCAAATTCTAAAATACTTAAAGAATGTTAAATGTTGTTACTTTGAAAGTATATTTAGATTTCTGGTATTTTTAGTTGCAGTGTCGAATAGAGTAATAATAACCTAATGGTTAAGGCACTCACTTGCTTGCCGATTAAGAGGGATGAGATTGGGGTCAAGGGACCTCATTAATGATATGATGATAGATTTATAGGCTATGTCTAATTATGTTAGACCTTCCGTAAGAAATTTTACGATTTTACAAACGACGCCAAACTCTTTGGTATAATAGCTTGCTAAACTATTTATACAAGGAGTTAAATATTTCAAATAATAATACATACTTTTAATTTCCTTGTTGGAGGATTCAATAAATCATTCATAGATTTCGCACTTATGTTTGTTTTATTTGTTTTAGCGACATTTTCTAGTACTTGTCTTGCTTCCGCGTATTTCTTCTTTGCTAACAGCCACCGGACGCTTTCAGATAGTATCCAATAGTAAGACAAAAGAAGAAAGACCGGGATATACAGAGTCATGAGTAGAGATCGCCACGGGCGGACAAGCCAGGCTACTACACCTAGGACTACCTCCCAGCAGGAAAACGTTGCCGAAGATGTAGCGGACGTAAGTACACGATACTTAGGGCCCACTAACTCGGTGGCTGTAATGTAACAAAACAATAATTACATTTATGGAAGATAAATTGAATTCTAATAATAGGTCTGATTAAATAAAATAATTATTTTGGCTAATAAGTGCCAGTTAAGGCTAGAAAAGTACTAACAAAAAATGTAAGCAGAACTTGCTAATCCTGCTCCTAAAGTAGTTTGCAGTAGTTGTAGAGCAAGAAACATGGTGTAGTTTAATGAAAAAGCCTTGAAAACCCCAATCAAGGCCGTGTTGAAGACACTGAAGAGTAATGCCATGCGTCGCCCAAAGTGGTCAGAGATGTAGCCGACAAGTGGTAGGACCAACAGCGTGCCAAGACTACTCAGTGTCCCTGCCAGGGTTCTGAGCCATTCTTTACATGCCAGGTCAAACTGCAAAAGATAATTTATTTATTTGTTTATTTATTTTCTCACAAAAACTTAAACTTAGGACATAAGCAAGTGACAGTTATATTCTTACTTCTGTTAATGGAAAAACCTAGTCTGTGTGAAACTGATGCCTGCTAAAGGTAAGAGTACCTGTGTTACACGTCATCAGGCCTCCACCACTACGGATCGACAGAAGATCTTATACAATACAATACATTACAATATATAAGGAAACCACATGGGGTATGTGTGTATGTGTAAATTATGTGTATGTGTGTGGGTGTGTGTCTGTGTATGTTTTATATTTATTACTTAAGTGTAAATCTAATAAAGCTAAAACTATTATACTAAAAATTTGTTCCCTATTATTAACAAATATTAGAATCAACTTTAAACTCAACTATTTAATTATTGTCAGCATTTTTTCTGTTTCCTCATAGTTGAGGTCCAGTAGCCACAGTGCAACCGTCTTCTTGCACTCATGTTTAGTTAGGGGATATGTGGAAACGGAAGAGTTGACCTTATTATACAAGTAATCCCCCAAAAAACAGAAGAATTTCTGGGCAAAACTTGTGCGAAAGGGCTTTGAAGTGCACACTATGCCTTTTTTACGCTTGTTATCTTTAAGGTGTTGGTCATAATTGATAAATGAGTGCTTGCGTAAAATTGTGGCAAGAATGAACATTTGACGCACAGAGAGTACCTTCCAATGTCTGTATACCTCTGTGGTGGGACAAATGAAGGGAAGGGAGGCACTAACCTTGAGTATTGCCCTCTGAGCTCTCTCTATTTTCAGAAGGTGGGTTTTTGCTGAGCCACCCCAAGAAGAGATGCAATAGCTCAGAATGGATTGACCTAGCGACAGGTAGACAGTTTTTATAATTGTGTTATTAGCAATGTGCCTCAAAATTTTGAATACATAAATCAGTTTTCTAATTCTACCTGCCAGTAGGTCAATATGAGCTTGGAAATTTAGATAGGTATCTAGCATGACTCCCAAGTATTTCACTATGCCTGCGGAGTTGAGCTTTGGACACCCGCAGTGCTCCCCGGTCATACATGAACCAGCATGCGACACAAGTGCCAGACCAGAAGGAATGTCACGCTTCGACATTGCGAAGGTCATGAATTTGGTCTTTTCGGTGTTAAGGGCCAGAGAAGCGATGTAGCCAATCCGATACCAAATTCAGACCCCGCTGAGCATGTCGAAAGGCCTCAAACCAATCTTGACCATGGAACACTAAGGCTGCGTCATCAGCAAAGGCCACAATTTTTCCATTTCTTAGGTTCATCCCACATAATTCATTAATGTAAATGAGGAACAATGTGGGCCCAAGAACACTGCCCTGCGGCACACCGAAGGTGACAGGTAACTCGATGCTAGTCCACTCTCCCACCCTCACAACTTGCGTGCGTTCAGACATGTAACTCGTGAAGAGTTGGTGAGGTATACCCCTGATGCCCAACCTCTCCATTCTGTGCAAGAGGATTTCTACCGAAACAGTGTCAAACGCTTTGCACAAGTCAATGAACACACCAATCACTTTTTCCCTCCTGTCCATATTCCTAACAATAAAATCGGTCAAGCTATGAACTGCGTCATCAGTAGACCTACCGAAACGAAAACCATATTGAGAGTCTGAAATAATATTGTGTTTGTCAAGGAAATCAACCAATCGTCTGTTCAATAATCGTTCCAAGATTTTGGACAGGATGGGAAGTAAGATAGGCCTATACTTGTCTACAAGGCTTCTGTCACCTCCCTTGTAGATAGGCGTTATGAGAGCTTTCTTGTAGATTTTATGAAACACACCTGTTTCCATGGAGAGGTTGCATATGTAAGTGATGGGTGGTACCAAAACTTTGACATGTTGTTTGAGAAGTCGGCCAGATATCATATCGTTACCAACAGCACATTTATCTCGCAGATTCACACCAGATTCAGATCACCAAGCTCTCTACTTGTGATTGGTCAGTGGGCTAGAGGACAAGAGAATTTTTTAATGGGGGTGGTGTAGTGGTCACATAGGACCAATTACAATTATAATTACCAAGGCAGTAGCAATGTTTTTCCCCACATTTCCAAGGAATGAATTTACACTGTTTACTTTTTCTTGTGGATTAAAATTTTTCAAAAGTTCTGTAGATGATGATCTAGGTTTTTTGTATTGTGTAATATTATTGATGGTCTCCCAGGGTTTTCTACTATTTTTATTATGTTTGTTAATTTCATCCCTTTCATATGCACGCCTAGCCTTTTTTAATAACGAATTACAGAATTTTCTGTATCTTTTATATGTCACTGCTAAAATTTCGTCAGCTGGGTTCTTTTTAATTTTATTTGTGAAGGTTATCCCTGTTACGCATACATCTGAGGAGCCCAGGTGTCACCCACGGTTTAATAATTCTTTTACGTCTGGGTACAACTATCTCTTTGGTGTTATCGGTAATAGCTTTTGTCAATAAGTCTCTAAATAACCTAGCTACATCATTCACATTTTTCAGACAATACAAGTGCGAAAAATCCAGTCCCTGAATCGCTAAATCTAAGCCAGCAAGGTTGATACTGCTTTTATATTGAAGGGGAGTTAGAGGATAGTCCTTTTCGATCTTTATGAGGAGTGCAACACTGTTATGATCGGTTATGGAAGCTTGAATTATAAGGCAATGTGCTTCATTATCTGATTTAACCATAATATGGTCCAAACATGTTCGGTTGTGGGTAGGAACGTTATACCCGGGGTGGATGTTAAACTCTGCAAGCAGATTCAAATAGTCCCATGAGCGCTGGTCACTTGTCCCTTGTGCAATGTCAATATTTATGTCACAATTATGTTTTTATAAGATTTTAATTTATTTAAAAGTAGGTTTAATGAATTAATAAAAATTAATGGCTCTCTATATCCTGGTGGACGATAGATAGAAATGATGACAGTATAGGGATCAAATTTAATTACTAAACAATTAGCGTCATGAAATTCTTGGGGTTCCTCGATGAGTGGACTAGAACCTTTCCTATAATAGACTATGACTCCTTCATTTTGTGTTAAGTTATTTTTAGTGGCAGCGTAGTTGTATCCTTGTATATTTGGTATAGATTTAGTAGACGGAAGCCAGCATTCGGTTTAAACGAGTAAATCCCAGGACATATTAATTCCCATTACTAGAGTGATAAAACTATTAATATTACAGGGTAAACTCCTTATATTTTGCGACAGGATTGATAAGGATTTGCTAGTACTTTTGATCACATTTTGACATTCCTCAGGATCACAGATTGAAAATTGAATATTTTTGTAACAATCTAGGTCGTTATATAAAAGGTTACTATCGTTTATTTGTCTATACACTGTGAATTAATTGGGTCGGACTGTGCACACAAATAGGACGTGAATGTAAGTTAAGTTTATTGGTACTTAGGATATAGTATTTTGCGATAGTTCTAGCAGGCATAATAGGTATACTAGAGTGGCTATAGTTGAATGAGTGGTGTATGAGTAATGTGTATGTTTGTATAATATATGTGTAGTAGTTTTTAAAAATATAGGTTTGTGATATATGCGGTTTCCTTAATCTCCGCTCACCGGCATGCACAAAAAGATAACAAAAATTATATAGGACTAAAAACAATGAATTAAAAGGTACAAGGTACAGTAACACGTGAGTAAACTTAAGGTATATACTAAGGCTGAATTCCGTATTTCTGTAAGTCTTCCTCTGAGTCAACGCGCATCGACGGTTGACCCTCAGCCATCCTGATGTAGACTTTGCTGTAAGATGTCCAGCATGCAGCAATCTTCTTACCTTTAACAAGCCCTCTGGCCAGAAAAAAGATGTGTTTTGATTTTAACGTCAGGTGTTCCGATATATATATTATAATTCATTAATATTGCTATACTTTTACGGTGTAATTAAAAAATTTGGTTAGTAAAAGATACTAACGTCGTATACAACAGAAGTGACCCCATCGTAGACAAATTCATCACATTTTTGTGTGATTGAGTGATCAAAGAGATCTATGGGACAGTGTAGCAAGGAGCCGTTGTAGCCAGAGTGCGCAGGCGCATATCTCTCACAGCTTGCGAATTTAGGGCCTGCATCTGTTAGTGGTATTGCATTGGTGATCCAGTCCGGTCCGTAGACATCACTCTTAGTGCTCTCACCGCACTCGGGAATACGACATCTGATGGAGTCATGCATCATTATTTTAACTAGATATATAATTATTATAATAATATTGTAGTACATATATTATTATTCTTGATCAATAATGCAATATCCACTTTTTTATAGAACAGGGTGCAAACGGGCAGAAGGCTCACCTGATGTTAAGTGATATCGCCGCCCATGGACTGGCGAACTGACGCTCTTCCTTGAAGATCACTTTACAGTAGATAAAAATAAAACAGCTTATAATCACAATTCCAGAGTAACACAAACCTATGTGGAATCGCTGTGGCCGTAAACACGTAATCGCCGAAGAATCCCGAACTCATTATTGGAAGTGCAATGAGACATAATATGTATTTAATCTGAAATCGTCCAAACTGGCCCAACTCATTCACCAACACATAGTCCAAATCTACACTTCTTTCAACCGTTTCTTCAGCGTCCACATCCTTAGCTTCACACATTTTGCTATCGTAACATATAAAATGAAACTTATAGTATTAAACTTAACACTGTATTTGAATTGGTACTTTATTGAGACAAGTTTAATCTAAATCGTTACGTTTATCTTTGTATCTTGTAGTGAGAATGTAACTTTAATCTTATCATATTGACAGGGCATTATTAACAACGGGTTAGATATAACCATAAATATAAGCTGAGGCCAAGCATTTAATAGAGTTATTGAACACGTTTAATGAGCTAACGAATTTATACAAATGTTTTCCCAGCAATCTTCATAAAGTATTACATACTTAAGACAGTATCGAAACAACAAGTACAATTTACATACGCACAAAGGCAAAACGTTTTCAATATAATATGTGATCCGTGTGATCCGTTCGTGCCGCAAACTTTACAATTCGAAACGTTTCACGCAATTTAAATGTCAAGTAGGTGTATCGAGTTTAGCTTTTTTTGGGCTGTGTCTTTGGAGCGACCGCTGATTTTATCGCTTCTATTTTTAATATGCTTGTGGCTTTTGTAGTGCAAGAGTCTCGTCGTACTCAAATGCAGCTTTATCGAATACCGTTTCTTGTAAATATTAGTCGACACTGTTATGCACTTTCAGCAACAGCGCGTCTGCGAGCTTGAGACTGTTCCGGTGTCTCTGCAGCCCGTTGAGAAGCTAGATACTCAGCATGCTGTCGAAACCTATCTTGGGACTACTCTGATGTTCGGCAGCTGTATGAGCTGCCTCAAGCTCTGCCAGTTCAAGCCCTCACAGTTCGGCTTGTGGAACCGTCTTGTCAAGTCTAGCTACTTTCATAGTTCGAGCTTTATTGGAGCTTTGGGAAAGATTAGACTTACGCATTCTTGGCATAATTTTTAGTACGTGCTTTTTCTACACTTCCAAAGAATACAGTACGGTAGTTATTATTATGTTTATACTTTAAAAATGCAATACTTGCCTATTTAATTAAAATTATAGCTAAATAGTTATTAATAGGCAAAAATCAATTCTAATTTGCTAATTAGAAAACAAAATCACGCTTCCGTGAGTCTATTAATATTCTTTTATTATAAGTTTTACATAATTATTGCTGTAATTTATAATTTAAATAAAAACGTAGTAATTCGTTATTATTAACAGGTAAGTAACCTATCAATATAATAAAAATAAAAATGATGTATCCTTTTGTACTCAGCGATGAGCGCCTTTTTCCCCCACCTCACATGCCGTGCTTCCTATCTTACTTACTTGATAATTCGGACAATTCACACAATATCTTTAAAAAATATATAATAGCCTATGTGTTATTCCGATGTATAAGCCATTTTGCTGTAAAGTTTCATTAAAATCCATTCAGTAGTTTTTACGTACAAACATCCATCCATACTTACAAACTTTCGCGTTTATAATATTAGTAGTATGTATACTTTTGATTGAAATCAGAAAATCAGGCATGGCATTATGAAACTTAAAGCCCAGGAGATGACAACATAACTAATGATATAATTAAAGCAATAGTAGAACCTCTAACATTACCTCTCACCGAACTGCTCAATGAAATTATAAAACAATAAAAAATACCGTAACACAGGGGAAACATCTGTCATAACATATAAAAAGGGAGACCTTACCAGAATGAAGATGGAGCTGGTGTCCCAACAATCAAGAGAACAAGCTGGTTCTCTAGACCATATATTCACACTTAGGCAAATCATTGAAAAATACATGGAGTACAAAAAAACAATGTATATAGCCTTTGTGGTCTACCCCAAAGCCTTTGACATAATCTTACATAACAAACTCTGGTTAGCTTTACGGGAGAATGGAATACAAAATAAATATTCTAACTTACTAGAAAATATGGAGAAGAAAGGCAACATGTTTCAACTGAAAAGGGGTGTTCGGCAGGGCGTGTCACCAAATTTATTCACCGCTCTGTCAAATTAGTTAATATTACCTGTAGTAATATTAATAAATTATTAACTTCAAATGAATTCATATCAAACTTCTCACCAAAGATATACGCAGTACTGAAGCTTCCAGCTCCAAGTGTTGTTTGTAGAATTTGAAGGGCCAAGTACATATTGTAGTTTACTGAAAAAGCTCTTATAAACCCGATTAATGCCGAATTAAATACACTTATGATGAACGCTACTCTTCGCCCAAACCTATCGGAGACATAGCCTGTTATCGGTAACACAAGTAAAGTTCCTACACTATTAAGCGTCCCCGCTAATACTCGCATGAACTCCTGACAACCGAGATCAAGCTGAAACAAAAAATGTTTATTTTAAAATATAATTATTTTATATTAAATAAAGAAAGGAACTACTAACATCATAGACAACTGAGTTGTCCCGTGCATAGACGTAACTATCACATTCAACAGTGACTGAAGAGTCGAAGAGGTTCGCGGGACAGTAATCTAAAGTGACGTTAACATCGATATTTCTTGGCCGGTAACGAACGCAGCTGGAGGCTGATGTCCGCTCGGGCATGGCAATAAACTCAAACTCAAAATATCTTTATTCAAGTAGGTAACCAAGTACACTTTTGAATCGTCAAGTTAAATTAATCGTAAATTTACATTTACTACCAGTTCGCAAGTCAAGGGCGTAGAGCGGGTAAGAAGAACTGGCAAGAAACTTTCCGCCACTCTTTTTAATCGCCAAGTATTGTCATACAAATTGTTTGAACTGGAGCAATTCAATCCCAAGGATTAGGATCATTTAAGTAGTCCTCAAATTTATAAAAAGCTTTGTTGATTAATTTTCGTTTAACGAGGGCTTTGAATTTATTTAGTGATAATTCTCTAATTTCGCTTGGGAGCTTGTTGTAAAAACGAATACAATTTCCATATAAGGAAATAGTTTACCAATCGGGGTCAAACCGGACTAATTTCGAATCTTCACCACATTCTGGGACGCGACATCTTGAACACAAATTAAGTAATAATATTAATTAATTGATGACCAAAATATTAACTCTTTTGAAGTTTTTGAAGTTCTAAGTTACCTGTGTGGGATTGCTGTGGCTGAGAAAATATATTCACCCGTAGCGGCAGACAAAATAAGCGGAATCGATACAAGGATTATGTAACGAAGCTGAAAGGGTCCAAATTGACCCAACTCATTTACTAAAACATCATCTAAATCTAGTCTCTTTATTTCACCAGTTTTTATTTCGTCCTCCATTTTTTAAATTTGAAAACGACACCGCCCGATCTCCGACTCTTTCCGTCCCACAATGAGTACGGTGGTGCTTTGGTTGTATCAGTAAGCGCAAAATGATTACGATTAATTTAAATTAATACTCAATATACTATGAATAAATATTGATTAAATCAAGATATCTAGTCTAATAATTTTTTTTTTGTAAATAATAATTTCCTGCAGATTGTAACCTTTATGTCATTCGTTTTAGATTGATTAAAACGCCAGAAATCATAAATAAAATTCACTTCTATTATCGAGACAATAGGCGCAACCAAGTCACAACAATATCGGGTCCGCGTATTTAATCATTTTAAAATCTGTTTACTTGAGATTTATAGTTTAAAGTACATTTATGTTATCACCTAGCGTACGGGATGCTGTGAAAGTGTTATCCGTTCAAAAGAACGTGCATTTAAGTGCTTTGAAGTGTAAAACGTTCGACATCTGTGTAAAACAAAATACCTTATTTTTGGGTCCTTTTCTGTGAGATGATTGGTGGCCAATCAATAAATAAGTGCTAATGAGTGATCTACAGCGTAATAATATCATATTTTTACAGAGTTCGTGATAAGAGACAGAATTGGAGAATCTTTAAATAACGAATAAATAATAACATTCTTGGACCCGAGTCTACCCACTTTTGGATCTTGGGTACAATATTGTTGATATTATCTACCTACATTATTTGGGATATCTACATAAAAAGGGTATTGAATATAAACCAGTGCAAGGTCAGTAGTGTCAAAGTGAGTGCGTGACTAGAAATACAAATATTAAATGTTATTTAAATAGGTCATTGATCTTCACGCAACTAAAAATTTAACATACTATACGATTTATTCAGATTACTTATAGTTATAACGAACGTTGTAGCTCCGTACAAAAGTTCTTAACGTTAAATCTAATAGAAGCCAGTTCGATCCTGAGTGACGATTTAGGTTTTATTTTTATTTTTGTTTTATATTTTTATTTTTTCCTTTTTCTTCTCTATAATAAGGAAGAGATAATTGAGGAATAGATAAAATGCTCAAATGCATTGCATGCTCCAAGGACCTAGACATAAGCACGCAGATTCAATGTATACTGTGCTTTAGAGGTTGTCACAGTAACTGTGCATGATTTACAGTGGAACAATCAAGTGATACTTGGATATGTCCTCCTTGCACGCGTAGAGGACAGCGCTGCCCTGATGCATCGCCTGGAAAACCGCAAGACTTCACGAGCCATAAAAACGATCCAGGACAAAGCGACAAGCACTTGTCAAGGGATGACTTGCAGAAGGTAATTGCAGAGGGAATTAACCAGGCAATCGACGCTAAACTGGGTCATATACAGAATAAGCTGATCGAAACTCTAAAAGTTTCTCTTATTATGGAATTGAGAGAAGAAATTAAGTCCTTCATGATTCCATTCGTTGAAGAAACAAAATCTCTAAGGGAGGAATTAAATATACTAAAGAATGATCTCTCGAATAGAAATGCCATTGTGAGTGAACTAAAATCGCAAATTTCTAAGCAGCAGCAGTGGAACCGAATGAATAATATTGAGATTGTAGGTTTACCTCAAACTAGCAACGAGTCGACACGCTCACTAATACAAAAAATTGCAAAACATGCTGACGTGGAATTGCAACCGGGCGATATTGAATTCGCCAATCGCGTACAGCCAAAGCAATCAACGCCAGGAAAGCCAAAAACAATTGTTGTGCGTCTCAGATCTCGTGACGTGAAAGATAAAATTTTGTCCGGTTTACGAAAAAGGCGAGGAATTCAAACGTCTGATATTGGTTTGGCTGGAAGTTCAAAGAAATTCTTTGTAAACGAGCACCTGACCCCTGAAAACAAATATCTGCTAAAAGAGGTTAAAACAATGGCTACGAACAAAGGTTACAAATTCGTTTGGGTCAGAAACTGTTGCATTTTTTTACGCAGAAACGAAGAGTCCCCAGCCATTACAATAAATTCGGAGCGGGATTTATCAAAAATTTCTTAGATTCTACTTTGCATTTGTATTTTAATTATTTAACCAATTATTTTACGGCATCGTTCGTGTATTTTTCAGTGGTTTTAGCAGCGCTTTGTTTCTTGATTTAAAATTTCACATTAATAGTAGCACAGAATTCGAGATCTTCCAGCCTAAATAAGAATGTTTGCATAAACGTTAACCTAACCTAACCATATTCTATCAAAACGTGCGAGGCTTACGGACGAAAACGACTGAATTTTATCGCAATCTACTCTTATCTACTTTTGATATTGTTTAATAACTGAATCTTGGTTAAGCGATAAGTTTTACGACAGCGAACTTTGCGGGGGTAATTATTCTATCTTTCGGCGTGATAGAACTAAAGAAACAACACACAAAAAATATGAAATGAAATGAAATAGTTTATTCTTGCAAGTAGGACTATATAAATCACTTTTACAATGTCTTCCTAAACTAGATGAAGTTGACATTTCCTAACTGACTGCCCTAAGAAGAAATGTCGAAACAAACTCGGGGGTCTTAGTCTCTTTTATAGTCCAGATAATACAATAATAAATTAATAAATTGGTGTAAACAAATGCAGAGTATTTACTGGACTGGTCTTTGGAAGAAAGAACCAGATCGATCTGAGCAAGCCTGTGCCAGCAGACGGCAAGCATGCCCCGAATAGCTCATGCAGCTCAACCATTTTTGAGGGAGCTGCACAACCCGGTACACAACAATACTGCCAGTGGCACCATAAAAATATGTGGGGCAACAACTCACTCAGATCGCCAGCCCAAAATAACTATAGACTAAAATGTATTTGTATTTTTAAGGTGTACCTTAAAGCAAGGAAAAAATAATGAAATTGAAAAATATAATCGTAATATAAACATTATTCACTTGGCATGTCAAAGTGTAAAATATTGTATGCAAAAGCACAAAACATGTCACTATTGTAGAAAAAGAAAAAATGAATATGCACTAAGCACAAAACATGTCAGTAATGTAGAGAAAAAAATTTTTAAAAAAATGAATATGCACTAAGCACAAACATGTCAATAGAATAAAATAAAATGCATATGCAACACAAAAGCACAAGACATGTCAGATTGTAAATATGTACAACATGCAAAAAAAAATTTGTTATGGGGGAGGTTTGTTAATTTATATATCTCTTAAATTGCAGGCTTATGAAAGACCTGAATGGAACTGCACTAACGTCGAAACTTTGTGGCTTACTATACCAGAAAATGCACTTGGAGCTAATGGTCGGCGTAATCTTCATATTGGATTGGTCTATATACCACCCGATTCTAAGCAGCCGCAACGACTTATGACGTTTATTTCCTCATTCAGTCATATAACTGAATCAAACCCAAATGATTACTTCATAATTGTTGGTGACTTTAATCTTCCTATCATTAACTGGTCTCCCCACGGGACCTATTATTTTAAAGACAGGGTATGACCAGTTGCAAGAAATCTCCGAAGATTTCATAAAAAGTTAAATTCTTACTGGCCTAATCACTAAATAAAGTAGCATAATTTTAATTCCCAATATTTGTAACAATGTGTTGGATTTAATATTAAGTAAGGCAAAAGCGTATATCCAAAAAGTGCATGCTATCTTACGAACAGTATGTACAAAATAACATGGCTAAAAATCCTAAGGCGTTGTGGTCATACTTTAAGAAATAAGAGGCAATGTAAATCTGAGTACCCTAGCATGCTAGTTCTTGGTGATGAGTCCTATAAATCGGA